ACCAGGAATTGAACTCACAACCTCACACTTGCCAGGCAAGCACATAAGCCACTGAGCTAAATCCCCAGCCCGAATATTATGGTTCTAATGTAATATAATGTTGACAGACTTAATTCGAGTTCTCAAGAATTGTTAAACCTGTGTTATAATGTTCAAATTGTGAAACGGTATGAACACGTGTGTCTCTGTCTAAATACAGTTAAGAAATGTTTAAAGAAATGTATCAGATTGCTAAATTGACAAGTTTAAGGGACTCAGCAGGAAGCCAGGGATCTCACTTTGTAAACATCTAGAACCTGTGCCAGAGGAGGGTATGGAGATGGTATGCTACCATCCCAAGGGGTGATAGCTTGCTTACAATATAAGGAAGGAAAAGAGGCTTGTTCTTTCCTCCTTTTTGCTCTTGCTGCTTTTGCTGCCTTCTATTGTTTAAGTGTTGCCCCTGTCCCATGCCACCCTGCTTTGGAGCCAACTGATTATGTACTGAAACCTCCATAAACTGTGAGCTAAATAAACCTTTTTTCCCCCTTAATTTTGGGTGTCAGGTATTTTGCCCCAGCAACAAAAGTAACCAAGATATACACTCAGAGTGACTGCCCCTGAAACCTGCAGCTGCAACACTCCTCAGGGCCACTCCAGCTCAAAGCTGCAACTTTCTCAGAGGAGATCTGCCTGCCTCACAGGAGTGCACTGGGCACTCATGGGAGTTTTTGAGCATGTACCAGCAGCTGAGCAGGCAACATTTCCTTTCTTGAACAGTTATTTACTGTAAGAGCAATGAAGACAAGAAAGAGGTGACCCAGTCACCTCCTCTCCAGGCCCTGACCTCTCCCCCATCCTGAGGACTGGACAGGGGAAGCCAAACCTTGCCTCCACCTGGAATCTTGGAACAAACTGCTCTCTGTCCACACGCCACCTCAGGAGTAGGAGCTGGGGCTTTGGATCAAAGGACTTAGGACTCCTCTTACTGGCAAAGGGACTTATTAGCCCTGAAAGCCATGTCTTTGCCCCTGGGGAGGGCCCACAACAGCAGAAGCCACTAGAATCTGGAACATATCTGAAGGGACAGTTAAAAGTTGTAACCAACTTGTCCTGTCCCTAACAGCTCACCCTCAACCCCAAGCCATCTCCCAGGGTCTGAAGCTGCTTTTGCTGTCCCTGTAAAGAATGCCCACCCCATGTCCCATTCCTTATGTCACTGAGCTATGCTCCTTGAGCCACTGCTGTGGGGCAGCCCTGTTTTAGGGACAGAGCCCTGCTGCTCAAAACCCAACACTTGCAGCATGTGCAGTGAGGATGGGCTACCCTGGCTGGTTATAGCTGACAGGTGATGTGGACGAGGGTGCCATGACCCAATGTGGCTTCTGAGTTTCTTGGGGTTAAGGCCTGTGAGAGGATGAGAAAAATAAAGAAAAGACAAAGCTGGGGTCAGGTGGAGCCCTTATCCTCCTGATGGGAGAAAAGGTACTGCTCAACCACTGTAGCACATTTATACCCTACAAAGAACAATGTCAATTTCAACCCCTGCTAGCAACTTGTTTGCTTAGAAGGCCTGGGCCCCTTGCCTTCTTGGTGCTGAACAACTTACATAGTTTGTTTTGGTCTCTGTTTTTTTCTGGGCTAGCCGTGCTTTAGCCCCACACTTGATCAAACTCCAGCTTCAACAGCTCTCAACACAAGGGGAGGAAATGGTAGAGAAGCTCAGCTTCCAAGTGACCTAGGTCACCAATGAAGAGAAAAAATGTGCCTCACAGCATGCTGATGACAGCCTTCCAAGTGCCTACTGGGTCAAAGACAATAACCATACATAAGAGAAATCTGGTACTATTTAAACAAAAGCCAGGAACATACAGGCTGGCAGGGGAGTTCTGCATGACAGGTGCAGCTGGGCAACCTTAGGCCTTGTCGCTGATGTCCTGTGTGGTGCCATTTGGTAAAGTGACATGTGTACCCCCTCTAGGAGGGCCCAAAGAAGCCTAAGCAGGTGCTCAAACACATGTCCCAAGGAGTCTTCATGTGCAGAGATATTCAGGCAGCAGCACCACACACTCTCACTACCCTGGTCTTATGAATGGGTCCTACCTAGCCTCAGTCTCAGCAGGAATCTCCTTTTCTCAGGTCAGAGTAGTTACTCAAGTTTCTGTATCTCCCTCATGCTACACTTGACTCCTTGAAGACAAGCATGAAAAACTGCCACCAAGAGCCTGTAATCTGTTACAGGAGGCTGAGGCAAAAGAATCTCCAGGGCCCAGGAGTTCAAGGCCAGCCTTGGTGACACAGCAAGATCTGGTCTCAAGAATCCTCTCTCAATATAGGCATGATCACAACAACAAAATTTCAAGGTCACTAAAACACAGCGATTAAAAGCAATAAATATGTAACTTAATAGTATAAGAAAATATACAGCTTTTTCATTAAACTATCAGTTTTTTGTTTCCCCTAATTAGTTCAAGAATCAAATGTTGAACAAATGACACCTTTGAACAGGAGACAAGAAACACTAGAAAATGAATAAAGAATTAAATAAAACTCTTTTGACTGTTGCTGCCTTTTAAAATATCATAAGCCATTTTATTTAAACATCTGTATAATGTAAAATAAAGCAGTACAAATGCTCTATTTACCAAACTTTCCAGTGGAAGCTTGAGATATATATATATATATATATATATACACATACATACATATATATCTTTTAACTGTAGTAAAGCCATTAAAAGGTGATTTTCAACAATCCCACTGCATGAACCAATTTAATTTTGACACAAGAATTTGCTACTAATGACTACAGACTTTCAGCTCTGGCACCCTGCTACATCAGCTTCTTCCTGTTCTCTGATCCCGTGACAAAAAAGTGCAGAATTTTTATTTCAAGAAAATGTTAGCCTTGTGCTTTGTTTCTCCAAACAAACTAAAACATGTGATACAAATCCTCTTGTCCATAGTTATACCTCACAGCAGGACAGTGCTGTTGCCCTATGGGATCAGCACCTGTAACATAAAGACTCAGAGCAACAGGCAGTGACTGTTATCAGCAACGCCATTTACTGTCAAGGATGGTGTGCTAGGCATTCTACTGAGCACTGCATGAGCAAATTATCCCTGCTTGATCAGTCCTACACAGGGTGTGTGGTTCCTCAGCGAGCCAGAGGTCGCAGAGTGAAGCAGCACAGCATCAACCAAAACCTCCAATTCTGACTGATAGTGGAGATCAGGGAGGACTGCAAGGAAGGAAGGCAAGATGGGCAAGACAGGCAAGGAGCAAAGATCAGTTCTGCTAGGTGAGGCCCCGCAGGGGACAGCCTGGCCTGTGAGGTAGGTAAGTCAAACTGGTACTGATGTGGGTCAGCAAGATAGGAAGACCACGGCAACTTTGGGATGGTTTCAATGGGGAGCAGAAAAGGGCCTCTGCCGACTCCTGGTCCTGATGGGGCCAGACCTCTCGCCTCTACAAAGTCCTGCAAATCCCAAATGCTCACACAAAGCACCACATGTATTATTTACCACATAGGATTTTTCTTTTTTGAGGCAGGGTCTTATGTCACCCAGGCTGTCCTCCAACTCATACTCCTTCCACCTAGGCCTCTAAAGTAGTAGTTTCCTAAATACACTTTTGAACTCATTGTCAAGTGAGTAGCTGAAAACAGAAGGGTCAAATCCCAGTTCCAGCACCTAAAAATACCATCGTTTCTATTCCTGAAAGAGCGTGGTGGCTAGAAGAGATGGGTGTTTCATGATACTAATCCCAGGTTTTACTGGGTATTTTACTGTGAGGTGCTTTTCTACTTAAGACTTGACCCTCCATTCTGTGGGAACTGTCCAGATGGAACACCAAGGCTCTGAAACATTGTCACCTACCCAAAAATCACACTGCTAAAAGAAGAGGTCCCCGGACTTGGTTCTCACGCCGAGGAGGGGATTCCGACCCGGATCCCTCACCTGAAGTGGGACCCGGACTCGAACCCTGATGCGAGGAGGGAACCAACTCGACTGGACAGAGATATCTAGTGTTAACCACAGCACTGTGAGCACTGTCACCGTCATTTACCTTGTGCACATACAGGCGCGCACGTGGGACTGTATGCACTTCTGTGTGCCCGCACCGATGTGCGTAACTGAAGGCACACATTCGTACAGGCATATGCACATGTATGCATGTTTGCATATGTGTGGATGCCTGTATGCGCGTGCATGTCTATATGACAGCAACTCAAGCCCACCTACGCACTTGGGTATGGGTAGCAGGGTCCGGTCTACAGAGTGACTCTGGGGCCTATCTCTCTACTTTCCCTTTCTATCGAACTAGAGCGCCGTCCCAATCACTTGGGTCGGAGGACAGTGGGAAAAGCGGGACGCGTCCATTCCCGCACAGCCACGGACCATCGTCTCCACCTCGATGCCTGGGCCTCGCTCCGCCCCGCCCACACGCACGACGTACACACGCACGCTCTCTCAGGACGCGAAAGCCGGCACCGCCCCTCCCGAGTCCTCCCTCCCGGCCCCTGCTCTCCGGACCCTGCGACGCCATCCCCGTTCTCCTCGGTCCTCCACGCCTGCCCGGGCACCGAGCACAGGAGCCCCGCCCCCTTCACCAGAACCAATCAGCAGCGCCCGGGAGGCGGCGCCGCGGGCCCGGCCCTCCTCCCTGAGCCCTCATTGGCCAGCCCGGCCGCCGCTCAGAAGGTCACGGCCCGCGCCCGCCGTCCCCCCTCCCCTCCTCCCTCCCTTCAGCAAAGGCTGAGGTGGGGCGCAACGGCCATGGGCCACAATCAGGACCAAGGGCGCAGTGGGCAGCGAGGGCAGGCGGGCCGAGCGGGCCAAGTGAGCCGCAGCGGACAGGGCGGAGGCCGCAGCGTCTCCGCGCAGCAAGATGGCGGCCTGGCGGCGGGCCAGGCGCGAGGCGGGGCGCTCCCTTGCGGGCGGCTCGCGGCCCGAGGGCGGAGGGCGGAGGGCGGAGGGCGCGAAACGGCCGGGCCGCGGCCAGGTGGGGCGCCGCTTACCTGGGGCTCGGCCCGGCGCGGCCTGCGGGCGGGGCCCGAATGTACGGCACGGCGCCCCAGCGCGCGGGACCGGTAGGCGGCGGGGGCGCGGGGCGGCGGGTTGTTGTCGTCGCGGGGGTCAGAGTTCGTGACCCCGACCGCCGCCGCCGCGCGCTGAGGAGGAGGGCGACTGCGGCGCTTCCTCTTCCCGACGCCTGCCCGGCGGGGGGGGCGGCTCGCGATTGGCTGCGCGCGCGCGGACGCCGCGTCGCTCCTCCCGGTCTGCGGCCGCCGGGCGGGCCTGTGAGCGCGGGCGCCACTCGAGTTGGTTCCCTCCTCGCGGCGGGGTGCTGGGTCTGGGTCCCGCTTCAGGAGAGGGATCCGGATCGGAATGCCCTCTTGGGGGTGAGGACCGGGTTCAGTGGCTCTTCACGGGACAAGGATCGGAGGTCGGGCCCTCTCCACGGGTTGAAGGGTCGAGGTCCTTCTAGTAGATCTTCCTCCTAGGGGGAAGTCAGAGTCCACTCCTCGGCTAGTGGGCGACTAGGGGTCCCCCTATGGGCGGGAGAATTGGAGCCAGGGTCTTGCAACTCAAGGTGCGAGGCTTCGGAGTCTTCCTCTTCGGGCGCAGCATGTGCGTGGTGTGGGAGATAGAAGATTAGGGGTCCTTCCCCCTTTTCCGGGTGCGGCGCGGTTGTCGGGGCTGGTATTTGGGATAGGGGCCGCAGTGAGACAGTTATATGGCCGGTCGGGAATGTTCGTTAGCAGAGTGTTTTCCTTGCACTTTCCTGGGTCGTGCGGAGTAAATGCTGACCACTCTGAGCATTCCCCTGTATTCTGTACATAGTTTCCTTGCCCTGCGAAGGGCCCCGCCAAGCTGGAAGCTGCCTGGAGGGGTTGGAGGAGGACGAGTGAGGGGCGGGACAGAAAAAACCAGGTGCTGTGACAGTGTCTCTAGGGCGAAACCGGTTGCTGTTGCTTTGTTGTGTACCTTTTAAAGTTAAGTTTTTAATGCTAAATAGTGCTTCTAGACTGTAAAAATTCACGGCAGTAAAGTTTGGAGAGAAGTATTAAAAATTGTACTAGATTTTAAAAAACTACTAAACAGCAGAATTTTCTGTGAATGAAGACTGTTAAATTTTCTTTTCCTGAGGTGCAGGATCTGCAGTGCACATGGTAAGAGCTGGGCCACATCATCAGCTTTTTATTATTTTTAATTTTGAGATAGGCTAAGTAGCCTAGGCTAGGCTCAAACTTGTGATCCTCTTACTTTAGAATGGGCTTTGTCACCAGTGCTGGGATTCACAGTTACATAAGGCATACTGCTAATTGGTGCAAGCCATACTTTTCTAGAGGTTTGTTAATCATCTACAGGTGCATTTACAGCGCTTTCACCAATTAAAAGTACAGGCTCTTGCAGGGTGTGGTTGAGCAACTGCAGGCTCCAGGACTCCCAAGCAACTGCAGGCAGGGTGGTGCCACCCAACCTCTGATAGGAGTTCCTGTGTGCCTCAGGCCTGAACCCTATCTGTACATGTGAGCAATAGAACGAAACAAAACTCCTGTGGTTTCGCCTCTGAAATGCATTTTAGATTAATTTTGGTTTTGGAGGCGTTCTTTGAGCTCTGGTCTTACCGGATTGTTGATCCTCCCCACGGACAGTGCCACAGTGACAATCCTGCAGAACCCACCCTTGGGTGCAGTATGGAAGGAGCCCTAGGTGGAACGTGCTTCATCTCCATGGGCCCCTACTGTCTCTGTGTGCAGTGGGTGAGTCCCTCTCCCTGCAGCAGTGCCTGACAGTCACAAATATATCGGCCTGGTGCTTGCAGAGGAACTTGGGGCAGTGGGGTTCAATGCCTTCCCTGAGCTGGGTGCAGGCCTGGGATTTGCATCTGCTTGCACCTGCTCCTGTGCCTGAGTGGCTTTTGTGGCACTTCACAGGCTGCCCTGCTGGGAAGCATTGACCTGTCTGGGAGCTACCACTAGGACCTGGATCAGATGGTTTCAGTTTTGTACCTACCACAGTGTGTATGTACTTTTTTGCCATTCAAGGTTATTTTACATCTGTTGTTAATTCAATAGAAAATGTTAAAGTGCTGATTCAAGAGAAGTCAAACTTTGATTAAACAGTAGTTGAAGATGCACTAAACTTTCCAAATTACTATCATGAAGCAGACATTTTTACCTTTTTGGGAGAAAGGGAGGTGCTAGGGGGAAGGACCCAGGGCCTTGCCCATGGTAAACAAGGGCTGTACCACTGAGCCACGGCCCCAGTGCAAAGACTTCACTAGGAAGGGCCCTGTTTCTGTGGGATAATTACTGTTCGTGTGCAGTGGCAGCACTTGCCAAGGATGTACAGGTCCTGAATTTGAGCCCCAGCATTACAACCCATCAGTCGGTCTGGGGGTTTCACTCTAACTGAGCAGTTGCTGATTTGTATTCTCAGACTGGGCACACTTCAGAATCACCTTCAGAAATACCTAGCATGGCATTGCATCAATTTCTCTGTACTAGCTTCTGCTTTGTATTACTTGTATAATCATGACATGTCTGTAAAATAAACTTGAAAGCCTCTGGTATTGGCCCGATTGTGGTCTCTTGAGTGTTAGGCTGGGCCCTCCTCTCACATTACTCTGCATAAAGTAACCAAAATCATTGGGAGTGGATGCTTTTATCCTGTTTCTGCAGCTGAAGAGGTGAAGACTTAACCACGAAGGATGACTTCTCTGAGGCCACTTGGCTCACCATTCTCAACAGCAGTTTCTAGCCTCAAGGATTCTTCACTGCCCACCTCCTGCTCCTCTCACAATTGGCTCTAGCTCATGCTCATTGGGTTCCTGAGGAGGATGAACCCCATATCCATGGCTCTTATTCTTAGGAGGAAGGAAAGTTGATGTGCTGTGGAGCACTGAGACACAGGAAGTGTCCTGGGCCTCTAGATTGTGATTCTTCATGCTAGACTTGGTCATGAGAGCAGCAGCTCTTGGCTGTGTGGGAGGCTGGATCCTGAGAATGAGAGGTAATCAGGTGATGGTCTCACAAAATCACCTGCTTCCAGTGCTGGTTGGAGAGTGTGCCGGAGAACATCTACTTTATGTGTCATATCACTTTTCGGGGTTGGCAAGGAGGGGGCTCCCTGTGAGTATGTGCTGTGGTGAGCCATCTCTCCAGCACCCCAGTCCAGAGTGTAATCCTGCTTCCTGTGCAGATGGAGGAAGGGGACTCGGACCCTGTTCCTCCTGTCTGAGCCTGGGTCCCACTGTAGTCGCTGTCTGCACCGTGCTGTCTTCCAAAACTGGGCTGAGCTTTCCTGCCTTTATTCTTGCGGTTGCATCTTTTTAATTTTGCCTACTGCCCTCAGTGAGTTGGGGAGGGCTCTGTGTTGCTAACTGATCCCAATTCAGTGGCCTAAAAACAGTTCCTGTTCACAGCCACAGTGGACCTGGAGCTGAGGTTCCCTGAAAGACTGGTCTGTTGGCTCCAGCAGGAACATAATGTGGCCTGTGTGACCTGGGCTTTGTCATGGTGTGGCAAGTGCCTTCTAAGAGTGTCACAAGAAAGCAGTGGCATGTTTATGATAGCTCCAATAGTTTCACAAAGCCACTTCTGTTTCTGCTTATGAGCTATCACCCAGGTCTGTTGGGCTTGGGGAGGAAATGAACACCAGGCTCTTGGCGGGGGGGTGCTGAATTCAGTGTACCTGAATAATCTTGTATGGTCACCTCTGCTTGCTGGTGGGCCTCAGTGTCTTCTCTACTACACTGATGCTCTCTGCCACTATAGACCTTCCACCCATTCAACCCCTGTCTGGGGCACAGTTGCTTCCCTGTGACCCCATGTTTCCAAGTGGACCTGCTTTGCTCTATCCTTCTGTATCTGGCATCTAGTTCTTAGAGCTGGGTCATGTCTGACATTGTGACAAGAGCACTGGTGTCACAGCATCCAGGGCTTGTGTCCCCACAGCTTTGTGCATGTCATTTGACCCCTTCCTCACTTCTCCAAGAGGTGTGTGGACATTTGCACCTTTAGGACAGTCTTATCACATGACTTGTGCTGCCTGATACATGCATGGTGTCTGTAATCACCCAGGTGATCCAATTTCCTCTGCACATTTCCAGTCAGGCAGGTGTGGGAGTCCATTTCCACCTGAAAATAACCTTTCTGCAAGAAGGTAGTGTGGCTGGACTGTCCTAGAGAAACCTAGCTCTGTGGGATCTTGCAGTCTAGCTCAGCTTCATTGGGATTCTGTCCTTCCCTAGAAAGAGTGGCCTCATCATGAAACCAAGTAATAAGACCAGGGATTTAGCTCAGCGGCATAAGCACCTGCCTGGCAAATGTGAGGTGGTGAGTTCGATCCCCGGTACCAAAAAAAAGAAAGAAAAAGAAACTGAGTAATAAGTTCCGGTGAGGCTTTGAGGAGAATCCTGCACTGGGATTGTAAACTAGTGCAGCCATTATGAAGATCAGTATGGAAAATCCTCAAAAAGCCAGCAGGAGAGCTGAGCATGGTGGCATACACATACAAGCCCAGCACTTGAGAGGCTGAGGCAAAAAAATTGCTACCAATTTGAGGGCAGCCTGGGCTAAACAGTGAGACCTTCTCTCAAAAAACAAACTACAAGTAGAAATTCCATTTAAGGCAGCTAGTCCCCTTCTAGGCATTTTTTCAATAGAGTTGAAGATGTGGTAGGATTGTGATCCATGCACAGCCATGTTTGTAGCAGCACAATTCACAGTAGCTGAATCTTGGAAGGGACCTATATGTCCATCAGCAGATGAGTGGATAAAGCAAATGAGTTACACAATGGAGGAGTACTATGCCATAAGGAAGGATGAACTTAAGTTATCTGTTGAAAAATGGATACACATTGAGACAATGCTAAGTGAAATAAGCCAGAGACAGGCTTAAACATGTGGTTTCTTACACCAAAAACTCAAAATGTGAATAATTTAAAGAACAAAAGATACTAGGAAATAGGGAGAACTTTTGCAAACAGGAAGGGGAGCAAGAGATGGAAAAGGGGGAAGAAAAAAGATGTGTTACATATACATACCAGCTTATGCCATTGAGCTAAATCCCCAGCCATTCTCCATGACAATGTAATCACCATGTACTGCAAACAAGTACTAATTTTAAAAATAATAAAAAACAACCTTCAGGGTACCAGGTATAGTGGTGACAGCATCTATAATTCCAGGGGTTGGGAGGCTGAGGCAGGAAGAACACTAAGACTTGGGGGTTGGCCTGGACTGCGTAGTGAGACTCCATCTCAAACAAAACAAGATCCCTCGGGGTTCCTGGCTGAAACCCTGAACTGGGCACTTTAATGGATGCAGACAGCAGCCTTTTTTTCCTGTGCTACTGGTAGGTAAAGTGTGCCTGTTTATTCAGTGTTGTGATCCCAGTATTCAGGAGGCTGAGGCAGGAGGATCATGGAGAGTTCAAGGCCAGCTTGGGATACATAGTGAGACCATGTCAAAAAACAAAACAGAAAAACCTTATTTAATTTTTGGTGCTTCAGATAGAACCCAGAGCCTTATGCATGCTAAGTGCACATTCTACCACTGAGATGCATCCCCAGCCCTTGAGGGCCAATGGTCCAGAGATTTGGCTTAGGAAGGAATTTACACTGCAGGTGGCTGGAGACTTCTGCAGCCTCCACTGTGGTATACCAAAAGCCCACAGCAGTGGGTTTTTGCTCTTTGCTGGGCTTGGCACTGCCAGTGGCTGCCGTGATACCCAAGAAGTGACTTGATGTTTCTGACCCCTTTCCTTATCTGCAGAATGGGCACAAACAATAGAACTCACCTCAGCAGGTTTCCAGGAAGAACTCAGTGAAAACCAAGGTTCAGGCACATAGAACATCCTTGCTGCTGGCCACGGAAAGGCTAAGAATTGGAGTTGGTGCTGTTCAGCTTGACGTAACAACGGTATTTGATTAGGAACTTAAAAGATAAACAATACGTCAGTCTCCCTACCTCACTTCCTGTAAGACTTAACAAATACATGGAGTAATTGAAAAATACAGTAATGTTTAAAAATTTCTCACAGCTGTTTAAAAATTATTATAGCAGAGACAGTGCCATTGACCCTTGCTTCCCATCATTCTTTCCACTTTCTGCAGCAGTTCTGGAAGTCCTCTTTGATGAGTGTTTCTAAGAGTTGTGATGAAAAACGTAAACACTGCTGCCAAGGTGCCAGCCAATGAAAAGGCAGTTTGGTAAAAACACAACACTGTGTCCTTATCAGCTTATTCAGCACATCTGGCACGTTCAACTCTTGATTCTTCCCCAAAGTCCAAATGACCATGAAAGGGAAACGTTTTAATTGCTTTAGGACATCATGACGGCACAACTAAAGACGCTCAGGAAAGCTGCTGCAGAAAGTGGCAAGAACCATGGGGTGAATGTTCACAGCAAGGGGAGGGTTTTGAGGTATTCATGGCAATGTGTCTTATTGTAATGAAATTTAAACTTTCACTGTAGTTTTCAGTCACACCTTTTCTGCACGATAGGTGGTCCAATCATCGTCCTGAAGTATTCTGTCACAGATCATCCTAGCTGCCTGGCAAGGCACAGCCCTGGTACCTCACCAGCCCTAAACAGTACTTTTCCAGAAGTTTTGGTGTGTTGGGGGTGGACGCTGGTGAGCCCCAGCAGTTGAGCCACCAGCTCTGCACTGCAAGATGCAAGAAAGCACTAACATATGAAGAGAAAAGCTTACTGCCTTTGGAGGCTCTGGTTCCATATCCAGGGGGCCCAGCCTGATGGTGGTAAAGCGGTCTGCTCCCCACATCTGCAGGGAAGCGAGAGCAAGCAAGGGCCAGGTCTCACAGTCCCCTCCAAGAGACCCCAGTGAATCTGAAGGTGCTACCACATCCCAACAGCACAGGCCCGAGGATGGCACTCTAGCTCTGGACCTGGTGGGGATCAGGACAGGACACAGACCTGTGCGGGCACTGCCATCCTCTGGCAGCTGTACAGGGACAGCAGTGGTCAAGTGTGGCCTCCTGGAGCCCATGCTGGAGGCAGCAAGTCCTCTTCAGTTGGGCCTGCCCTGCCTTCATTATTCCTGTGAGCAGAGGTCTCAGCATGAGGTGCATGTGTGTTCCATATCAACTAGGTCTGTGTGGGAGCTCACATGATCACAGAGCCCTAGGTGCAGATGAATTGCTTAGAATGCCCACCAATGTAGTACCTGTTCTGCTGTGGAAAACACTACAGCTAGGCCTGCTCCTACCACCGTGGCTCAGCCTCCAGGGCTGTGGTACCCACCTGGGCCTCCCATGTTCAGTGACAATGTTGATACTGCCGATCAAGTGAAAGGTCGGGGTCAGGTGTGATGGCACTCAGGAGGCTGAGGCAGGAGGATCCCAGTGAGTTTGAGGCCAGCTTGAACTACATAATAAGCATTTGTCTCAAGAAACAAAAACAAAAAATACCATGAAAGGAAAAGAGACTATGAACAGAGGCCTTCAGCCTGCAGAGTCCTTTCCCAGGATGAAGAGGAAGGTCCTGTTTTCTTTCTGTACATTCAGAGAGCAGGGAACTCAGGCTGAAAGAACACCAGGCCCTTCCTTCCAGGGGCCACAGGTTTGGAACAACAGCTCCATGTTCAGTTGGCTTCCTTTTCCTTCACTCCAGGAGGAGGGGTCAGAGGACAGATCTCCCAGGCCATAGCAGGCAGTGCCTCTTGTGCTATCTGGTATTACAGGCTGCTCCTGCCTGGAATGTGGTCAGCACCACTCCTCCAGGGCACCCCGCTGTGCCGCGTAGGGACCTCTCTTTGCCACTCGAGGCAGATTATAAGGACGGGACGTGGATGTGTGTGACTGAGGAGCCAAGCATCCCCCAGAGGCTAGCCCCGTACTGGTAACTGGGTAGTGGGAGGGTTCTGTGGCCCGTGGACCCCCTGTAGAGGATCATCAGTAGGTCCGTTGGTAGCAGGAATCTTCACAGCAGAAACGTTCTCTCTTTGCAAGGTGTCAGAAACAGGTGTCAGGACATTAGGAGGCTGGGGTGTGGCTAGGGCAGAGCACCCACCTCACATATGCAGGGGGCCCTGGGTTCTCCCTTCAGTGCCACCGCCTCCCACAAAAACCTGTAGTAAAGACTATATCTGGAGCTGGCACTGATGAAGGACAGGGAATAGACACTCCTGGCACCTGTCACAGCAGGCCCCTTATCCCAGGACGCCAGGATATGCCTGAAGCCATGAACAGCACTGAGCCCTGTACAAACTGGGTATTTTCTATACATACAAGTTTAATTTATAAATTAGGCTCAATAAGAGATTAGTAGCAACAATAATAAAATGGGACAGTTATAACAAAACACTCAGGCATGGTGGTGCACACCTATAATCCTCAGCAGGCTGAAGTGGGAGATCACTGAGGGGTCAAGGTCAGCCTGGATTGATAGTTTAAAATATATGAGTTGTTTGTGAATTTTTATTTATTTATTTTTTGAGACAGGGTCTTGCTATGCAGTTCAGGTTGGCTTGGGCTCACTTTGTAGCCCAGCCTGGTCTTGAACTTGCATCGATGCTCCTGCCTCAGCCTCTGGAGTGCTGAGATTTCAGGAGTGCGCCACCACACCCGGCTTATTTGTGGAATTTTTCACTTAATATTTTCAGACAACAATTGACCCTGGGTAGCTAAAACCTCAGGAGACAATGCCGAAGATTGGGTGTGAGATGATTCCACCAGAACTGAGCCCTCGGGATTAACAAAAGATCTGTCTGCGCCTTGGTTTGAATCAGGACATGTTTAATGTAAACGTTTTGAAAGAACTGCAAACTAGAAAAAACGTTTCCCTGGAAATACTGAATGTAAATAACTAGTCCTCAGATAGTGGTTCTTTACAGTGTCCACGATGAGAGCCTGGCAGCAGCCACACTCCTGCTGGGGATGGGACACTGCCCTCAAGCCTGTGCCCTCAGAACCCGCAGTAACATCATAGCCCCAGGGCACAGCGTCTCCTCTTCCAGCCACTCCTGTTCACCTTCTGATCTCCTGTTTTCTCTCCCTTTTCACGTCTTTCAGGAAATAGCCACGGTGTATCTGGGGAGGACGGGTCTGTAAACTCGCATTGCCCACGTGAGTGGCAGGCGCAGGAAGGCACACAATAAATTAGAGCTGATGCCGTCTTCTGAGGGTCCATGGGGACCTGGGGGGCATGGAGGATACTGTGGAGGGATGGAAAAAGCCCCACCCGGGTAAGGATGCTGCTGAGTGCTCAGCCGAAAAGAGGACCCCCCTGCCTCATTGTTGCTGGGTGGGTAGTGGCCTGCTTGGGTGGCCCAATGTCCATGGGATGCAGTAAAGCCTTGGGAAACCTGGAACTGAAGGCTGCAGCTCAGCAGGACGATAAAGTGCTTGGGAGGACAGCAGCTGTCACCACCACCACTCACATCACCTGAGTCCCCGTGGACGCCATGAAAAGGTGATGAATCTACCGTAAGGACAGACTGAGAAAGCTGTTTCTATTGTAAGCCTGCATTTCTACCTGAAGTTGCTATCGGTTTCCGCGTTTTCAGGTTACTCCATGTTAGCTCACTGCTGGGTATGGAAATCATTCACGGCAGGCCAGGAAGCAGGATGGTACAGGCCAGGCTTGGCAATCCTCTGCAGTCTCTGGCTGAGTGCTGGGTGGGTGGGGCTGCAGCGTGGTTCCCAGCAGAGTCACCTGTCCCCTAAAAGCTTGCTCCAGTCCCGCCTTGGGCAATGCTATAACACGCTGGCATCCTCCATGGCCTCCATCCACCTGGGGACAGAGAGAATCAGAGTCATGGCTGTGCCTGGGCCTTAGGTCACAGAGCTGATGGCGACGGGTCTCGTGTTCATGGCAGCTTCCCACACATGCTCTCCCTGTTGAAGCATGGGACAGTGTCAACTGTGACTGGGTTGGTGTCCACCTGCGTGGATGAACTGTGACAATTGCTCTGCCCTTGTGACAATGAGGCAGGAGGTGGCCAGGCTGAGGCTAGAGAGAGACAGGAAGTTGCCCATGAAGCCTGCACCGGGCTGGAGCCACTTTTTCAGGGTGCCGAGGTCTACACACAAGGGGCAGGCTTCAAGTGGCTCTGTGTGCCCAGTCGACTTTGGCAGCTCTAACCAATACTGACCCTAACCATTGCATCCCTGACTGCAGCTTTGACCCCATGGATTTCTGCACAGTTGATAGTTCTTCCAAAGGTCTTAAAAGGTCAAGAACTCCTCTGCCCTCCATGCAGCCAAGTCACACCACTCACTGGCAGGAGTCTTGCCCTAGACCAACGCCTTAGTCATACTCCAAACCCCCAGGCTTCAGCCCAGCACCAAGGGGCCTTGAGTCTTGCTCCTGGTCTGCACCTGCCCTGTGGGGAGGGTCCTCTCTTTCCTCTTTCAAACAAATCTTTGCTCTTGCAGCTACTCCTGCAAGAGTAGGTATCCTGCTCGATTCTTCATTCAGGAATCAAGAGCCTAGACAAGCGCTCAACTGGAAAGAAACCCGGTGGCCCCTATGACCTGGCAGCAGTGACTAGCAGCACTGTTCTCTGCGGGCGGGACGTGGGCCTCACGTTTCCATACCTCTGGGCGGCACTGGTGTCCTCGGCCTTGAAGCTGTAGAACAGTGTTTTCTTGTGGTAAAGGTGGAACACAGGACTGGGGTCGCTGTTGCCCTCCTCCCTCCCCGGCGCAATGGTGAAGCCCAACAGAGGGATGCTCTCTGTGGCCACTTTGTCCTACAGGGCAGAAGGATGCTGGCATCAAGTACAGCCGGCAGGCACACAGGGACAGGACTGGCTGTGTTTGTTACCCAGTCCCCTCCAGGGTCAGCCTTCAGAAGGAGCAAAATCTCTCCCCATCCCCTGCCAGTACTGAGGATTGAACCTAGGGCCCTCGCACCAGCTTTTTTTTATTTCTTGAGACTCAGTTGCTGTTTCCAGGCTGGACTTAAACTTGGGATCTTCCTATCTCAGCCTCCCATGGACTACAGGTGTATACTACCAGGAATTACTCCAGGAATGGTTTATTTTTTTTTTTTTTTTTTTTTCATTTTTATCGGTACCAGGGATCGAACTCACGACCGCCTGCTTGCAAGGCAGGTGCTTATGCCGCTGAGCTAAACCCCCAGCCCCTCCAGGAATGGTTTAAAACCTGGTATTTCAGGGCCAGGCATTTGCACCTTCATTATTTTGTTCAGTCTCCACAATAATCTAAGAAAGCACTATCCCCTTCAGAAAGGGCAATGCCCCAAGACAGCACAGCTAGAAAGCAAGCAAGGAGCCAGATTTGGCACTCTAGGCCAACTTCTAACATCCTTTCTGCTGAGTCAATTCACTGGTGACTCATTTTCCTTAGCTTCTTCTGAGACCACACTCACTCCTCAGTCCCGACATGAAGGCCTTTGCAGGCAGCCCAAGCCCCTGCGCTGTGAGCAGCCAGGTGATAAGATGCACACCAAGAATGCAGATGAGCTTGAAACAGTGCTCAGTGGGAAAAGAAAGACTCTAATTCACTAAGATATGTTATCCAATGTGCATGTTATGTTTCCATTTTTTTTTATTGGTACCGATCGAACTCATGACCGCCTGCTTGCAAGGAAGGTGCTTATGCTAAATCCCCAGCCCCAATGTGCACGTATGTAAGTGTTCATGTAGTGCTTTATAAAAATACAGGCTAAAGAGATGTAAGTACTAAGCATGCCAGAATAGCTGCAAGGTGAGAGGAAAGGGGAGTAGTGTGTGTAAAAAATCTGAAACCATTTTCAGAGATGGAAAGATCAGGAAAAAAGCATTTGACAGCATTCAATATCCATTCTTGATCAAAAGTCTCAGGAGCCTCGGAGTCAGAGGGAACTTTCTTAATCTGACGCAGGATTTAAGTATAAATGCCCAGGGCCCATGTCACAACGAGCAGCTAGCTGCTGAACCTCCCTAAGATGAGACAACAGGTCTCTGAGAAGGCAGTGCTGGAGCCCTGAGGTGCTGCAGAAAGACCGGAGGAAAAAGTGCAAAGATCAGAAATGAATAAGCAGTAAAGCCGTCGGCATGTGAGAAGAATAGGTTTGAAGACAAAATGATTACTCCAACCGATGAACATTAACAAAGTTACAGGATGATCACTCTTCTATACAACAGTGGCAGATGGCTAGAAAACAAAACCAACTCACATCACATTCAGAATTAAATACTTAGAAATAGTTAGCAGAAGCTAAGGATGAAAGTGTTGTGATCTCTGGACCAAAAGATGCAAAATATCACAAGAGAAGTGAAAGAACTCCAGGTCCACAGCTGAGACTTGACACTGGCAGACAGCTTGCTCCAAACTGATCCCCAAGAGATCAACAACCTCTACCATAACTGAAGAGGACTTTGGAGGAGTAGAAGAAATTGACAAGGCCATAATGAAAACCAAAGACCTAGTGGGTCCCAAATGATCTTTAGAAAGAGGTTGAAGGACCTGCCTATCTGACATGGAGACTCTCTGTGCAGCCCTGAGTGGTCAAGGATGGACATAAAGGTAGGAGGTACAGGGGTCAAACCCTGGGCCTCTGCACCGAGCCACACCCCCAGCCCTTTTTACTTTTTATTTTAAGACAGGGTCTTGCTAGGTTGCTATTGTCCAGGCTCAGTTCCAACTTGTAATCCTCCTACCTCTGCCGCCCAAAGTGCTGGGATGACAGGCATGCACCACTGCGACTAGTGAAATGTACCTTTAAAAGCCAGCCTGCATGGGCACCCTGTGACCTCTGCTCTTACACCCGGGGTGGTCTTGGGCCCCTCGCTAGCTTCCCCGCCTGACCTGAAGCCCAAGTTCCTCCCTAAAGTGAGTCTGGTGGAACTGCTCTGGCAGGGCTGGGCGAGAGGAGGCTGTGGCTGAGCCAGCATGGGAGCTTGAGGGCCCAGGCAGGGGAGACTGAGACACACAGAAAGCTTCCCCTCACTGTGTGGCTCTCAATCAGGACGGAACTCTCTGAACACAGGCGGGTGCTCTCTCTTGTGTGCCTTGGAAAGATGGGGGTCTAGGAAGAAAACCCCAGTGCAGCTTAGTAGAGCTTGCGGCTCCTGTGCCACCAGAGTCCTCTGGGGCAGCTTCTGGCTATCCCATGGCCCTGAGGAGCAGAGCGCACCCCAGGATCAGCCCCCTATGGAGGGCCAGGGGGCTTGGATCTCATTACAAAACAGACTTGGCCTGAGGAAACCACTGCTGGGGCCCTGCACATGGAAACCTGTGACACCTGCCAGCCCCCACAGCGATGGACTGCTTGCAGTTCCCCCAGAGTGTTGAGTCCAAGGCTCTTACCTATGTTTTAGAAAACGTGAATGTAAGGTACTCTATAAGATATAAATAAGCTTTACCTGAGAGTTACTGGGTCAGAGTTGTCCTAGAGAAAGAAATGGACAGATCAAGCCCAGCATGATGCCACACACCTGTAATCCTAACACTTAGGAGGCTGAGGCAGGATTGCCTAGAATTCAAGGCCAGCCTAAACTACAGCTCTGTGGACTCAAGTGGCCCTGTAGGGACAGAATTTGGGACCCCAGAGCATCCAGAGCCTCCTGGGGAGGGCAGGCACAGCCCCATACCTCATGGGCTGTGTAGGTGTAGAGCACTTTGCCTTTGATGACAAACCATAGTCTCTTCCACGGCCGCTTGCCCCGCTTGCACCGGCTGAGGTAGCCACTGATGGCCAAGCCCTCACCTGAGGCAGCCACCTGCAGAAGAAACCTGAGGTCAGGGCTTGTCCCTACTGCAAGCCCCACACTGGGGTTGGGGACAGGACTCGCAGAAGGGACTCAGGGCCACCACAGGGGAGGCAGTTATACCCAGGACCCCACATGCCCATTCCCACAGAAGTGCCCTGGGATGATGCTACACAACACTCATGCCACCCGCCTCACGAGGGGCTGCTCGCTGCTGTTTGTTTAGATCTCACTCAGGCTGGCCTCGAACTCACTATGTAGCCCAGGATGGCTCCAACTTTTGGTTATCCTCCTGCCTTAGCCTCCCAAATGCTGGGACAGCAAACATGCACCACCATACCCAGCAGCAAGAAAATTTCTTGAAAGATCGTGGGGGGAAGCTGGGGAAGGACAGATCTCACTTTCTACCAAATACTCTTTGGTTAAAAAATGTTTTTCTTTGATATGATGTGTGCTATTTCTGAAAAAAATTTTCCCAGTGCTGGGCTGAACCTAGGCCTCCCAAATAGTAGGCAAGCTCTCACCTCAGAGCCACAGTCCAAGCTCTTTCTAAAATCTTTAATCTTCAACAGTTAAACTACTGGATCGCCCCTCACCCATGGTAACAATCCTCTTTCCCCTAACAGTTGTCTACACCCCAGGCTGCCTGCTCTGGATCGTATTAATGGGAACATGGGGCTGTGGCTGTGGGTTTAGAGCCAGTGTGTCTTCATGGGACTGTGACTCATAGGAGATGGAACCTGGCCCTGTCTTCAGGACAGTCTGGATGTCCCCACACATCTGCAGGCTGCCTTGGTACCCTCCACCCCATACACCTCAATGACACAGCAGGAGGGAACTGAGTGACCCAGAACCCCAGTGGCCTGGGTGTTGTCACAACCTCAGTCTTAGCTCCAGGCCAGGAGGAAGAGAAGAGGAAGATGCAGAGGGGGGATGCAGAGGCGCCTCCTATACCATCCGTCCTCCACCTCAGGTCACCCCTCAGCCACCAAAGTATCTCATCAGTCCACACCCCAGGACAGGTGTGTCCTCGGGGCCAAGTGCAGGAGCAGGCACTGTCCCTAAGGGATGCCTCAGTGCTTGTAGGGAAGGACAGCAGCCAGGCTGCGATGAGAGGCCTGACCCTGTCCCCAGGCATCTCTGTCCCACAGCTCACCTCTGCCAGGGCTGACGGAACTTTCTTCTGCTTCTTGAAGTTGGAAGGGTTGATACTGTGGAAGACGGAGGAGAGGGCACTGCCCGAGGAGAAGCGGGGTGAAGACAGTGGGAAGCTCATGGTCACAGGCCGCTCTGTGGGGAGAGAGAACAGAGGTGACCAGATGAGGAGAAACAATTGGGGGTGGGGACTCTTCCCCAGGACATGGGCAGGGATAGCAGACCCTCAGTGACCTCAGTGTCCCCAAGGAGGAACATACTTGTCCTCTTTTCTGCCTGTCCTGTGTGCCCTGCAGCTTGGGAGGGTAAGCTCAGCTTCCAGGGTTCTGTCCCAGGCCCTTCCCTCCAGTCCCTAGTTCCCCATGGGTAACCGAGGGCCCCACAGATCCCACTGGACATGGGCCACAGAGCTCCACAAAGAGGAGCTGTGTGCCCAGAGCTCTGTCCTCACAGAGGCCCCTAATGAGTGGTTCCTGGGGACAAGGTGGCTCTGGCAGAGCTGCCCCTCCCACGCCCCTGAGCCCAGCTTTGTTACCTCGCAGGGTGGCCGGCGGGGTCCCGCCCCTCTTCCTCAGCTCCCCGAAGCACCCGTCGCACACCTTAGCCATTCGGTCCCTGAGGTACTTCAGGGGGTACTTGTTCCTTGAGCAGTTCCGGCACACAATCTGCAGGCCGGCGCCAGGGGACATGTGTTGACTGTGACACCCGCAAATGTGCAGAGGGGACCAGCGTCCACCCTCATGGCCCTGCCTTGGTGGCCCAGGCTGCACTGTACTTCCTAGCAAGTGTCTCAGTTTCCCTGTTGCTGCACTCTTAGTGGTGGTGCAGTGCTCCTTCCACCGTGGGTGCACCGCCAGTGTCCTCTCTGCACATGGCAGGAAGTGGGCATGGGCCCCCTGGGGCCCCCGCAGCGCCCCTGGCTCACCTTGCCGCAGGCATGGCAGTGGTGACGTCGCAGCGTGAGGGAGAAGTCGCAGCCGCAGTTCATGCACATCACAGCATGTGTGACGGGCACCAGCGTAGGTGGCCGCTCCCCTAGGCTGACCCCCAGCCTCTCGCGGAGCTGGGGAGGGGGCAGAGGTCAGCACGGTGCCCAAGTGCCCCCAACCTCAGGGGACCCATCTCTCATGGTTGCTGCTCACCTCTGCGCTGTAGTGAAAGGCGGCCAGGGCCTGGGCCTCGTGGTCCTCGGGGACGGCCCTGCTTAGGCAGCTGTGCCACTCGTCCCTCTCAGCGCAGGAGCTGTGGGCATGGGTAGGAGGGTCAGTCCTGCCATATGTCCCCAAACACTGGGCTGTGAGATGGACAGGGGACATGGGAAGCCCCTCTACCTGTGGCAGACACTGAGCAAAACAAAGGCCCTGGGTAGCAGAGTCCACACTCTATAGGAATGGGCCAGCAGTGACAGAGAGGGCAGGGTGGACACATCACACAGTGCCATGTGCACCCCTCAGATGGACAAGGGACAAGACCAGCAGCAGCAAGTGGAGTCTCACAGTGCCCACCAGGTGGCGCACACATCCCAAATACCAGCTCCATGGCCCTGGGCTGGGAGGAGGAAGCCATGTATCTCGCTGTCCCACTCCCGTGACAGCCTCCCTTGCCTGGAAACATGAGCCCCATGGCCCAAGTGCACAGTGCCTGACTCTGAGGAGAGGCAGGGGAGGGGCTTGGAACCCCTGAAACCAACCTCCCCCTCCAAAGGCATCGGTACCTCCAGGGCCTGCCTGCCACAGTTGTGGACCACAGGCTCGCCCCAGATGAGCGAGGGGCACTGAGGCCAGCAGGTGTCCACCCAAGCTTTTGTGTGGGGACCAGCGCATGACTCTCTACTCCACAGGTATGCACTACTGTGCACTCCACGCACCTCACACTCAGCATGAGGGCTCCCACAGCCTTCTCAAGGCTGCATGTGGAAGGGACACCCAGTTGCAAGAGCACCCAGAGTGCCCAACCCAGGACTGTACCTCTCCTCTGAGCTTGATGGTGCCCTTTACCCTCATTGGGGGAGTCCTTTTGGGGGCCACAGCCCAACTGGCCACAGGGTGGGATCTCCAGGACAAATGCAGGCCTTTCTCTCCTTCCTTCCTTCCTTCCTTCCTTCCTTCCTTCCTTCCTTCCTTCCTTCCTTCCTTTCCTCTTCCCCCTTCCCTCCTTCCCTCCCTTCCTCTCTTCTATTTGTGGGCAGCCTAGGATGCCCACGGGGAAGGGGAAGGGTGAAAGCTGGCCCTATCTTTCCCTCACCTTCAGAAGTCATGTCAGGGTGGACAGGCCACCTGTGTTGGCCCCCTGACGTCTGTGGAGTCTCACAGACCAGAGGTGCAGTCCTTGTCACCTGTCACATGTGCTTCCCACGCACACAATTAATTCTCCAGGAGAGAAGCCAGGGGTTTTTACAACACAGTGGTTAAGAGACACTGAAAGGAGCAAGTCCTCTCATCTGTCAGGAGCCAGAAGGGAAGTGATGCCATGTCCATGGCTGATAGCCGCACAAGAGTTCCCTACTAGCCCCATCCCATCCGTACCTGGCTGACAGTGTCAGGCAGCTCTGAGCAGTCTCGATGCGCAGGGCATAGGGCACATTCTCCATCACTGGCCGGCTGACCTGCAAGAACCATGCCAGGCACCTTAGAGCTGGCATAGAGTAGGCACCAGGGTCTCTGGGCAGTTGCAGGGCACAGAGGGCCAGCCTGACACAGATGTTCGGTGGCCTCAGCTTCCCCAGTAGTGACACACTGCTGTCACTCTGTGATCCCCAGGAGACTGGGAGCATCTCTCCAGCTGTGTGTGCCATGGGCCTGGACCTGCTTGCTGCTCCCACCTCTGGCAGCCTCTCCCTGCCTGGCTTCTTGATAGCCTCCTTGCTACTTCATTGACCTCTGAAGGGTACCTGTAGCCCTGTGGTCAACTTTGGCATCCCCTCTTGGTTCCCCGGGTGGGACATGGATGAAGGTTCTCAGACCTCTTGTTCCCCAAGAATCCAGGGTCCTCTCAGGACCAAGTCTCACTGAGCAGGGCCATGCAGGTCTACTCACAGCCACGGCAGCACTGTCACAACAGTGACGGGAAGACAGTGTCACAGCCCTCCTGGGAGGAAGACACCGAGACACAGCCCCGGATGGGTGAGGATAGTGCTGTGGGCAGGGGATGGGATTGCACAGTAGCAGGACTGCGGGGCTAGGAGGGGAGGGGACAGGCAAAGGGTCCTGGAGGAGCACACATGACCTGGTGCTTGATGAAGCAGCCAGGATGGCAACAAGGTGTGGTCTTACCCCTGGTCCCTGCTCCAGGCCACCAAGAAGCAGATACTTAGGAGCTGCTCACCTGCTTCCCACCATGTTCCGACTCACCTTCATGCCAGCTACGGGCAGTGAGCGCTTGAGCCGGTACTTTCCGTCCTTCTGGGGGTGGGTGTACAGCAGCACGTCACTCATCTGTGGACAGGGGACTGTCAGACGGGAACACTGGGCTCGGCAAGGGCTGTGCATCCCAGACCCCCACCCAAAACTCAAAAAACAAAATTAAAACACGCTGCCAAGACACAGGACCACAGATGACCTCAACATCTCTCTGTGCAACAAGAACACACATCATGTGGCCCAAAGCAGTAAGATCAGTTTCCACCCATGGAACAGGCGGAGCCCAGGTCCTGTGGTCAGGACCTGACTGCCAGACATTGGTGCTCTTGGACTGTAGGTGTTCCACACCATTCCCTGGGGTGGGATGGTGATGGGTGTTGTTGAGGTGGGAGCAGCTGTCGCTGCACGAGGACCCCCAGGAATGGGGAGTTGTGGAGTCCTGTTCTGGATGTCCTCAGGGCTTACTGCCCAGTGTCCACTTGGTGCAAACTAAAGGCCTCTGCCATGAGGTAGAGGGTGAAATAAGGGCCATCGCAGCTCTGCGGAGGAAGTGACTTCAGTCTGGTACACACAAGGCCAGGTGATTCTCCTACACAGCAGAGTGATTCTCCTAAGCCTAAGCAGAGCCACAGCCTTCATGTCTGATTCTGGCAACCCCAGAGTGTGCCCCAGCCATCACTCCACTGCTGCAGCACACGTTGGAGGTCTCCACACAGCTGCCCCAGCGCCCAGTGCCTGTTTTTTACCAGCAGTCTGTGCCATCCTGAGGGTGGAGAACCAATGGAATGGGTAGGGTCTGTCCACTCCAGGGGTACACGGGGGACTCTCCTCAGTGTCCCTAAAGCCCTGTGTGTTGGCAGGCAGTGCCCCAACTCTGCTGAAATTCAGATCCATTTAAGAAACTTTTCTTTTATTCTGATCCTGGGGTTGGAGCCCACCAAGTGCTGAGTGATGCCCCATTCCTTTTAATTCTTTAATTTTGAGACAGGTTTCACTAAGTTACTGCCCAGGCTGGACTGGAGCTTGTGATTCTCTTGCCCCAGCCTACCAGAGTAACTGGAATTACCACCATGCCTATAAAAACTGACACTCTGAGAAAGACAAATTCTTCCTTACCTTTGGCTTTTTTCCCTTTATTTTTTCTGTGGTTCTGGGGCTGGAATCCAGAGTCTTGGGCATGAAGGGCAGGTGCCCACCACCCCTGAGCCATACGCCAGCCTTCCATCTCCCTGGCTAGGAACCTGTCACCTGTCTGCTCCTTCTTAGTGTATGTGTGTAGAGACAGGGGGCATCACAGGGCCTGGAACACTGAGCAAAAGACCCCCGAGACATAGCAGGTCCCCCAAACATACTATGTCCTGGCCTCTGTGCTTCATAAACTCAGTCTCCACTGAGATGCTTCCTCAGTGGTAGATCCTAAGAATGCGAAATGCACAGCACCCAGGGGTGTCCAGCTGCTTGCCTTCCAGGACCCCATTACCATGTGGGGCCCCACTTGGAGTGCCCTCTATACTTTTCCAGCCCTGCTTCTACACAGTGATAGGTGCCCACATGTCGCACACCTGGCTCCAGCCCAGGATGTCACTGGGCAGTGGTGGCATCTTTAGTAGGTGGGGTTGTGGGAGGTGTTGGGTCACTAAGGTTGCATTCTCAGAGAGGCAGCAGGGCCCCCTTCTTCCTCCCTTGTGTGTCAGCATGGGCTCAATGCCACAGGACACCTGGCCATGGCCAGAACCTCAAAACCGACAGCAGAAGTGACCTGAGCTGTGAGTCTTGGGTGTCAGTTACAGTGATGGGAGGTATGGTGGCTCAGGGTCCTGGGCTAGGGTAAAGAGCTGTCACTGGCCACTGAGGTGGACATGACTCCCAAAGACATGGACATCCCTGACGTATCTGCATAGCAGGGCAGGTGCAGGGGGGATTCTGACCCCGGGTTCCACCTTGAGGCTGGTGGGACTGTCCCTCCAGGGCTGGTCCTCTCTTATGTCACAGGAGCAGTGAGGCCCAGGCCTGAGGTGTCTAAGGCAGGGAGCTTCAGAAATTAAACTTCAGCACCACTGCATTCAATGCTTCGCAAAGGACAATCTAGTGACAACCTGATGACAACCCAGAAACAGAGGTGGCCCTGAACTCAGTCTTCTTGGAAGCTCAGCTGTGCAGAGGGGCACAACTGAAGGTTCAGCTTTGTCTCTCCACCCCACTCGTCCCCAACACAGACTGTGATGTGTAGCCAAACTCACCAGGAACAGGTGCCGGGGGTGCCTGTCCTTCCCTCGCACCTTCATCAGTGTCCCCTCCTTCAGGAATTCCTGCAGACAAAGAAGCTGACCTTGTGATTGCCGATGACCCTGCTGTCCCTGAGACAGGAGGGGGTCAGGGAGGGACATGGAGACATGACGCCAGGGGACCAGGTGGCCTTCTCCTCCTGCCGCTGAGGGGCCCCACTCTGGCTCCCTGGGAATGAAGCTGTAGATGTGGATTGTGGCCTTGGCCCACATCCTGGAGGACACTGAGCAGGGGTTCAATTCCTCAACTGCAGTCCTGGCTGGGACACCGAGGGCAACTGCAGACCCAATGGCCAATGCTGATGACAAGTAAGACCTATGTGGTACCAATGTTTGTTCCAACTGCAGAGATCAAACTGCTGACTACTTTTGAGCTGAATTGTATGTTTTCCATTTGGAGGCAAAAACATAAGTAAATCTCTTTCTTTTTCCCTCCACCTTGCTCCTCTGTCTGCAGTGCTGGGCTGGAGCTCAGAGGTTCATGTGAGCCCTGCACCAGCCAGTTCTGGGCTGTATGTAAGAAATGTGATTTTTAAGACCCTTGCTGGGCTTTCCCTCTGGAGATGGTTTTCTGCTTCTCAGAAACTCTGGACTAAAAATACTCGGAGCCTCTCTCTTCTCAACAAATACAGTGGAGAACCCATGGGCACTGTCTCTATGCCCTCTGCCCCCTCGTACCTGCCCGGGTCCCATGAAGCCAACCAGGAACATGGCCACCCCCACCACTAGCAGCCCACTTACCCTTCCTGGCTGCAGAAGGTCGCCCTGGCCACTGACACTGTGCTCAATGTGGACCAGCTTCTGCAGGTTCTCCTGCAGGTAGGGCAGGGAGGGAGGCAGTCAGGCCCATGAGGAGCAGCCCAGGAAGGCCATGGGATGGTAACCAAGGAACATGGCCTAGGGAGGAGATGCCACCCTCTTTGAGCCTCAGGGCTAGAAACGTGGACTGGAATAAGAGCCAACTCTGCTGGTCCCTCTCTGGGTTACTCAGACAGGTTAAAAGACATGTTGCCCTTTTGTACAGCACTGTCCTGAAGAGGTCACACCTTGCTCAAGTCCCAAAGACACCCAAGAAAGGGGACACTGTGTGGGTACCACCTTGAGGTCCTTATGTCACTGCTGGCTTCATGACATGCATAGGAAAATGTCCAGCATCCATTCCATCACCATAGGACAGGCCCCTAGATGTGGCTGCCACCCAACAGTAGAAAGACTGGATGATCTGAGCACCACAACTTCCTCACACCCATGGATGGCCACATGGTTGAATTCTAGAACCAAAGCCTTTCAAGGAAATGGGAGGTAGCCACACACCACAGCTTTGGTGACATCAGGAAGAAGGGTGGTGATAGATAAGAAGAGAGTGCTGAAAGGTTCACAGGTCCCGAAGGGTCAGGTGTGGGTGGTAGCAATAGACAGGACTTGCAGCTCACAGAGAAGATGGGGTGGAGCAGGCAGCAGGAAGAGCTGTCCACAGCTTTGAACCATGATCCCCTCTCCCCCTTCAAGAGCTCCAGTGAAGATTTCTGCTTCAGGGAAAGAACAGAAGCCAGTTCTGAGGCAGGGGATCTTTGGGCCCAGCACTGTCACCGCAACTGGTATCATGCAAGGGCAGCTACAGTGGGGATGGACAGAAGCCTGTTCAAGGCTGGCCACATGTCAGGGTAGAGCATGGCCCAAAGGTGGTGGGTAACAAGCAGAGACTATGGGAGAAGGGGCAGGAGCCCAGGAAGAGCCTTCCTGAGAGGCAGGGATATGAGGAGTGGCAGACACTCCATGCAGCATAGGTGACCATAGGTGACAGGGTCAGAATCCAAGCATGTAGCAGGCAGGACAGGGAACCAGCTCAACTGTGGCCCAGACTGACTCCACCTGCCAAACCAGCCAGGCAGAAGCAGGCAGAACTGTCCACCTCTGTCTCTGCCTTGCTATTATGCAGACACCTGACTTTAAATCAAAACTTACAAGGACACAGAGACACAACCAAGGAAAAGAAACCCAAGTCATTTTCAAGAGGAAAAGCACTCAACAAATACAGAACAGGAGGGGACTGTCGTGGGAACCACCAGGAAGGGAATTTGTGGTGATCACAATTCATGTGTGAGGGATCTCATGGGGAGCAGTCAGCAGTCAGAAAAGGCAGGGAACCTCAGCGATGGGAACCTCGACAGGAGTCAAAGGAAATGTTGGTGTTAAATAACTCCTTGGTGGAAGAAGCAAGAACATCTCTAACAGGCTTAGCAGCACTGAAGCACTGCCAAATAAAGAATCAAAGACCTTGAAGATGGCTCGGCCGACTTCATCCCAACCACAGACAGGGACGAGAGTGGGTAGAAAGGAGAACAGAGTGTGGGAACTTTCCAAAATTAATGAATGACAAACTCCAGCCATCCAGGAAGCTGGAGAGTCACAGCAGGCTTGCTGCCACCCTTCCCGCAACTCTTACACATCCAGTGGGCTCCCCAAAGTGCAATAAAACTACCATCTCGAAGGCAGCTAGAAAGAGGGACACACAACGCAAGGAGGACAAAGATAAACAGATAACAGGCTTGGTGTCAGAGGCCCTGTAAAGCAGAGATGGGGTCTGGCATCTTTCAAGTGCAAGGGAAAAAAATGAACCAGCCCAAGGTTTTTAAACCCTGGAAAAATATCCTTTGAAAATGGAGGTCAAAGGACAACTAGGTAAAGGGGAGAGGTGTTGGGAGACAGCTTTGGCATTCTGGGTGGGAGCTGCTGATTGGCAGGGAAGTAGGCTGGAATCATCTGAGGGGTACTGAGTGCTGAGTCCTGTTGGGAACTCAGGTACAATCTTTTCAGCTTAACATGGACATGGTAGGCTATAGATGAGGTCTACAGATATGACAGGTATACACGTGGTATCTTAGTCATTTTCTTTAGCACTGAGATGCAAAACTTGACACCCACAATTTAAAGGAGAGGGTTATGTTGGCTCATCGTTTCAGAAGCCTCAGGCCCTACGTGGTCCACCAGCTCCAGGCAGGAAGGGCCTGGTGGAGGAGAGCTGCTCGTGGCCTGGTATACTGACAGGAAGCAGAGAGGGAAAAGAGAAGCCAGGAGGGAGATGAACCCTTCTAGGCCACACCCTAGCGCCCACATCTTCCCGCCAGGCCCTGCCTGCTAGCACCAAAACAGCTATAGTATCTATGATCCAATAACTGCCACAAGCCCCACCTCTGAGTGCAGGAGGCTCCAGGGGGACATTAGATATGAACCCTAACATAGGGGTTAGTAAACACAAGTTTATTTGTGCTGTCAGTTAAGAGGGCCCAAAAGAAACAATTCCCATGAGCAGGGACACACCCAGGCCACAGTCTCTGTTTCAAACACCATTGTCCCCATAGAGGACCCATGGCTGGTTGTCAGCCAGGGAACAGGAAATGCACCAGGTGAATGAGCCAGAACTCAGGAAATGCTCAAAACAGAGCAGAAACACCCATAGCGTGTGGATGGTATGTAGAGTAGAAGCCATTGGACAGCATGCCCGAGGGCCAGTGCTGGGAAGTGGATAAATGGTGCAGTAAGGAGTTTTGTAAGGAATAAGATAACTTTTGGTGAGTCCACGCTGACCTGAGGGACTACCTGATACCGAGCACTTGGGCACAGTCATCCAGGAGGGAAGACATACCCCGTATAAGGCTTACAGTGATCACCAGAGAGTGCCCAGCCTGCAGGAGAGGACGCACAATGGCTGTGCCCTGAATGCCATTGCAGGCTGAGAGTTTTTCCAAAGGGGGAAGCCGTGGCTACCACGCGGGGAGACCTCACGCAGCAGAGCCTTGGTGCACACCGTGGGCCAGGAGCTGCCAACACCGACAGGCTTGTCTCCAAGGTGAGCCTGCACGGGCTGAACGCTGTCATGATTACCCTGCCCTCCCTGCTCCACCTCCACGGCCCAGTCCTATCACAAGGAAAACAATGGACAGACCCCAGCAGGGGCCACCTGCAGCGTCAAGGGCACCACAGGGAGGGGCATGTGGGAGCCTAAGGACACGAGAGGACCAAGGGTAACACAGGTGGAATCCTGCGAGAGCCTTAGGATAAGACACCAGGAAAAGCTCAGGGACTGTGAGGGACAATGGCCTTCAATGTCATTCTGCCCAGTGTCCTCTAATGGGACAGATGTTCCAGCTGTTCAGTTCCCTAGAGAATCTAGAAAGGACCCAAGCCATGGACCAAGACAATCACCAAGGCCAAATGCAGACCCCCACATCCACACAGTGGAGACACCTCAGGTGTGGGGACAGAACCCGGGTGCAGGGCTGAAGACACAAACATGTTGTGTGGCTGAGAAGCTGGTAGCATGGGCACAATGAGTGCTGATGTGGCAGTTAGACTCCAAGGGCCGTGCACACGACCTCTGGGCTGGGGGTGAGAGATGCCTGGAGTCCAATTTAAAAAGCAAAGAGCAAACAACTCGCTTAAAATATGGTCAAAGGAGTCAGAGACATTTCTCAAAAGTGAATGTGCATGTGGCCACCAGGTTCACACAAACACCCTCTGAATCAGACATGAGATGCCACCTCACCCCCGCAAGGAGGCCGCTGTCAGAAAGACCAGAGATCATGGTCCTGGTACAGAGTGGGAGGCCTTTGCACGTGATATCAGCATTGGGGTCCTGAAAACACTAAGACTACAACTACCACAGGATGTAGCAATCCCACGACTGGGCACACATCCAAAGGAAAACAGCGTGTCAACGAGACATCTGCGTCCCACATTCATTACAGCCCTGTGCACAAGAGCCAAGAGATGAAAATAACACAAGTGTCTGGCAACTGATGAATGTAAAAAGAAAATGTGGTCCACAAACACACCGGAGTACCACTCAGCTGTAAAGAAGCACAGAAATCCGTCTCTGATGACAATATGGTGGAACATAAAGCCAGGCACAAAGACAAACACTTGCATGATCTCACTACATGTACCCGTTTCTGACCCAGCTGCCTCTTTGGAGCAGCAGGGGCAGTCTTCTTGGAGCGACAACGTCATTTCACTGCAAGGCAGGGCTCCAGTTTGGGGCTGCACTGAAGGAGGAATCTCTTGTTGTGTACAAGTTATTAGAGCAACAGAGCATGGAGTCAGCCAATGTCAGGAGCAGGGAGAGGACCAGATGACAGGTATGACTCACCCTGTGAAATGCATGTGTTATCCCTAGTGGCCTCTGCGTCCCTGACCACCCCCATCCCCAGCACCGTCCCATTTTGTGGTGGGTGGCTCAGTGCTTTCTTGTTGCCTTGTTTTGCCTAGGTCAAGGTCCTCTCCCCTCCCTCTGCCTTCAGGACAGAGAAGGGAACCTGGGGGGGGGGGTGTCGCACCTTCCTTAATGGTGGGACACTGCCCTCTCAGTCCCTAGCCCTAAGGGACTCCCCTTTCCCAATGCTCACCTTCTTATGACATTGGCTACAGTTATTTCCCCCACTTATGGTATCTACTGCTGCTGCATGGAGAACTGTCCCAGTTTAGGTCTCAGTGTCCCTAGAAGCCTGACATGTGCGGAAGGTGACTGGACCATGGGATGCAGTGCTCATCAGTTAATTAATCCAAAAATGAGTCCATGGTTATTAAGGCCCATATCTAGAGTCCCCCTAAAGTCTCATGAACTCATAGTTGGGGCTTTTTGGAGCTGGCTGGATCTAGGGTATGTGATGATGGGATTAGGGGTGTGTGGTACTAAATTAGCCCACTGATTGGAATTAGGGCAGTTCTGGGTGTGGCTGAGTGGATTTGCTCAAAATAGTAACACCCTGGGTGGGGGAGGCCCCACCCAAAAGTCTTATAGCCTGGATGGGATAAAAGGGAAGTGGGAGTCTCCATACTTGCTACTCACTGTCTCCTGCCTGCTCTGCTATGGGCTGTTTGTGCGTGATGCCTCTCTGCCATGATACCCTGCCTTGGAAGGCAGCTATGCTCACCACTATGCCACCAACTCGACATCCTGCCTTGGAGCCAGCCAGTTATGGACTGAACCCTCTACCATCTGGAGCTGAAATAAAACTTTCCTCTATTAAATTGTATGTGGCTGGTGTTTTGTCTCAGCAATAAGAAAATTAATAAGACCATGGCTGGTTCTGTGGTTAGGAGGTGGGATCTAGTTGGAGATGGGCACAGGGCCGTGACCTGGAAGGGTGTGTTCTTCTGTTGCTCGGCCTGCCATAAGGCAAACAACTTCCCACTGCCAGCCCCCTCCATCATGCTGTTCCTTCCTTGGAGCCAGCCAACCATGAACGGAACCCACTGAAACTGTGAGAATAACGCACATCCTTTAAGGTGAGTGTTCTAGGTGTTTAATCCCAGTGATGGACAACTATCCAAAACAAGCTGTGACCTCCAGGCTGGAATCTGTGTCTTATCACCTCCATGTCTCTTGTCCCCAATACAGTCCAAGACCTGGCACACAGGAGGCACCCAGGACCCGCTCTTTCCACCCTTCACATGGCACACACCGTGGCCATCCTCCATGCCTGCCACAGCAGGATCACCATCATGGCTGAACTTGGCCTAGACTCATCGTCATCCTCCACAACAGCCCTCATGTTACAAATCAGCAGGACAGTGGACATGCACACACAGGCAGTCACAGTGACTCCAAAACAGAGCTGGGATGTGGGTGAGGTCAGCCAACCTCACATAGCCCAGAGACCACCCATGAGAATCAGTGAGCCCCAGAGAGCCATGAGTTTCACTCAGCAAGCACAATAGTTACTTGGGTGCCTCCTAAAGATGTGAGTCCTATTCCTGGGTCCAAAACTCTGACCCCCGTGTTACACCTGAGCCATGGAGAGGCCTGCAACCCTCAGAGTGCGGATGACAAGGCTGAAGCACAGAGAGGCACTGGAAGGCCCCAAGGTCATGCAGCAAAGGGAGGCCCAGGCTGCTGTGGGATGCAGGCAGATGGCCAACTTACCCCCTGCTCCATGCTGTCGTGGGCACGGTCAGTGATGGTGGAGATGAGTGTGAGCGCACCTGTGAGGGACAGAGTACAGGTGTCATCAGGCCACCAGTGTCACCATCCTGGCCTCACAAGGCCTACAAGGCCTGTCCCATTGCCCAGCAGGTTCCTGTGGGCCCCATAGGCACATGGCACTTGTCTCAACTCCAACTTTGCCACAGCTGCCTAAGAGACCCCAGCAGTGAACTGAGCACTCTGCCTCAGTTTCCCCTGCCAAAAACTGCCATGTCACAGAGGGAACCCTGGCAGGTCACACAGGAACACAGAAGCTGGATGAGCTGGTATCACCCTTTCTCTCACTTTTTAGGGATTCTGGCCCACCCCAATGCTTCCCAGAGGTGAGCTGACCTGCCTGGCTTGGGGAGAGGGCTGGGGACCACATGGAGCCTAGGGATGGCAGAGCCTGAGTGGGTAGTGTCATCTCCCAGCCCCACAGGACTCACCTTGTGTGTTATCATACTCTGCTGAGTCTGGGCAGAGGTTGTTCAGATAGTCTGGGATGGAAGGAGTCAGAGGTCAGTGTGTCCCGACCACACTGTGACCCTGTCACCATCCCCCCCATGACCCCAGGCCACCACTGCTGGCTGTTTGCTCACCACTTTTGGGTGCCCACTCTGACAGACTTTAAGGGGCAGAGGTGACAAACTGCTGCCCACCTCTCACCCCTTTCTGCCCATGCTGACTACAGAATATCCCTGTCCCAGGGCCTTGGCATGTTCTCCTCCCCTACCAGAACTCTCTCCTAGATCTCCCTGTGGCCCTGAGACCTGCTGAGTGCCTCCTCCTCAAGAAGCGTCTCTGCCCAAAGTGTCTAAGTGGGCACCCGAGCCCTGTTCCCAACGCAACTGGGTTTCCTTAGCATCCCCAGCACTGATGCGATACTATGGCTGTCTGGGTACTGTTCTATCTCCAGCGTCTGACTGGGCTGGCACGCATTAGGTGCTCAATAATATCCATGGAACCATGAACCCTGGCCCTTGTGTGCCTGTCACAGCTTTAGGAATGGTATGTGTGTCCCATATGGGCCTCAGTCCACCCTCTCGGGCAGGGTTCTTTGATGAGGTGTTGAGCATGAGGTGGGCATCCTGGGGGGCAGGGTGGGAACAGTGATGGACAGGCAAAGGGAGGACCTGGGACACTGTAGTCGCCCCTAGTACCCTCACAACCCTGTGTCCCCATGCCCACCTGTAAGGAGCACGTGGTACTGGAATGGGCGCCGCACCACTGCCAGCAGCTGCTGCTTCACCCGCTGGCCACCCTGCTGCTGTTGGAGGGGGAGTGGGAGTCAGACCCCCCCACACTCCCTCCTGAACCCCGAGCTGGGCCCTGCTGTGACCCTGAAACAGCCTCCCCCGATCCTCTCTCCTTGCACTGAGGATATTCACACACTCCCTTTCCTGCTCAGGAACAGGATCCCTATGGTGGTCACTGGGGTGATTTCCCTGTCCAGGCAGGAAGAGCCCCCAAAACCCTCCCGCACTGTGGGGCTCCCTCCTGGGACCACTTGCCCACCTCTCTGGCCAGATCCCTGCTTCTCCCCAGGTATCTACCTCGAAGTCACGGATGGTGGCAGCCAGGTGGGGACAGCGGGTGCAGGTCTGGGCAAGCAGAGCCAGACTTCTGTCAAAGTGCAGAATCAGCACCGCGTGGTGCTCGAACTCCTGCTCACGGGCCAGGAAGATGTCAGCCACCTGCGATGGGCCCTCCCTGCACAGAAGTGGGGCAGGGATGAATGACAGTGGGGACCCAGCCTGGCTCCTGTCCCCACTGCACGGTCAGCTCCCTCTGTGCGGGTGAGGTGCCTCCTGCATGTTTTGTGCCACCCTTTGGGCACATTCCCTTCAGCCCTGTGAGAGTACGAACGCACCCATCACCCAGCCTCTGCTCCAGCTCCTGCAGGATGCCTTGGTGCAGTGCATGGATGGCGGGCAGCTCGTCCAGTCCCTGCCGCAGCTCCTCCTGTGCCTGCGTGTCCTCCACATTGTCCAGGGCCCTCATGACAGCAGCATGGAAATCCTGAAAGCAGAAGCCAGTGACCAACAGCTGCAGCTGCCCCCACCTAGGAGTAGGGGTACACACAGGCAGCGGCACCCCAGCCCCACGTGCCCACTTGCCTAGATCTGTCCTGCATTGCTCTGAGTCTGACCACAAGAACTCTGTGCTTGGTGACGTTGGTAATTCCTTCTCTAAAGACACACTTACATCTTGCTTTCAATTTATTCACTTCTCTCTTTTTTCAGTAGTAGGGACTGAGCCCAGGGCTTTCCCCCTAAGCTATGGCCCCATCCCCTTTTTCAAATTTAGTGACAGGATCTTGTTTAGTTGCCTAGGCTGGGCTTGAAATTGCCATCCTCCTGCCTTAGCTTCCCGGGCCTGGCTCCATAGCCTTCATGTGACAGAGGAGATTAAGTCACGGGTCACTCTCCTGGAGGAGGAAGGCCCTGGGGTGAGCTGAAGGGAGAGAAGGGAGACAGCACCGGGGGCTATTTGCATCCCATTCAGGGAGTGGGGAGCAGGTACGGATTGCTGCAAAGGCAGCAGGCAGCAGGCAGCTTCTGGCCCCCATCTGCCCTGGATCCTCCTTCTATCTGTGGGGCCAAGGGCAGCACAGTAGTCAGTGAGACGATACCAAGGAGCACACGATCGGATGGGTTCCACATCCATTCCGAGCGTACAGAGAGCACCCTGCCTCATCCACTGTGTGCCCTGCTCAGTCCTGAGTTTCCAGCAGCTCAGCCCTGGCACCAAGGGCAGGGGTGAAAAGGAGACATAGCTCTGCCCTCCAGGGCTCAGCTCACTGAAAAAGAGGTGTGAAGGAGGGGTTCAGGCAAGGCTGTGCTGGGGCAGTGGCCAAAGCAGAGGAGCTGAGGGGCTTGGCCAGGGGACACTAAGGAGGTGAGACACACTCAGGCTGAGACAGAGGACAGCACACATCAAGGCCTGTGGGACAGGAGTAGCTGAGAAGCTGAGTGTGGGTGGGTGATTGTGTGTTCTCATGTGTACTTGCATGTGTATGTGTGTGCACGTGTGTATGCATACGTGCACATCTGTGAGAAGGGCAGTGGCTGGGACAGGCAGGGCTGTTCACAGTGCCCAGCGCTTCTCCAACCTAGTGGTCCTACCTCACCTCTCCGGCCCGTGAGCCAGTGCTGAGATGTCATGAGGTCCCCACCCCCTGGAGAGGGACCTGTGTGTGACAGGGCCACACACCACTCTGTCTCCATCCCCTCTGTTCATGCTGGTGACACACACACCTGCCCAGGGTGTGCAGATCATAAGTCCAGCCAGGCTGTGCTTCAGGGTCTGTGTTTCTGGGTCTCCCTGGCCTGTAGGTCCTGGGCGGCCACACAAGATTATAAATTTCTAATTTGTCCTGCAACTTCCAGTGATATTTTTAATGGCCCTGCTGTGTGGTGCTGAAGCACTCATGGCTACAAAGACAGATCAGCCACCAGCCTGCAGTGGGGTGAGACTCTTGGGCCATGGCGCTAAGCCTGAGACATCTTCCCTTGGGGACATGTGGAGTGTGAATCAGCACCTCCTTTGCTTTGGGCCACCTGAGATGGGTGGGCCCAGTTTCCTGTGCATGCGGATGGCAGTGGTAGCAGCCTCTGTGTGCCAGGCATGGTGGTGCACACCTATAATCCCAGCACTTGGGAGGCCAAGGCAGGAGGATCCCTGAGACAATCATTTGCCAGAATCATCCCAGGAAGAGCAAAGTGGGAGAGGCAGGGCCCAGCCAGCAGGATGCAGGCAGAGACCACAGCGTCCCTTGTTCTGCCATCCCAGAACCTCTTCTGTCCTGTTGCTCTCGGCTGGCTCCCAGATGAACACACTGAGCAGAACTCAGTTTTGACCAGTTCATCCAGCTTCCTCTGAAACTAGAGGTGTCCAGTGGAAGAAGTCATCCAATGATGCTTTCAGGAGTGTCTCAAGGGGCTATCTGGACTGGGAGACACACACTCTTGCTTCCCCTCTTTCTACTATGCCTGGGACACTGATATGATGGCTAGAGTTGCAGCAGTTACCCTGTGATCATGAGGAACCTGCAAAGAATGCAGCAGAGATGGATGGGAACTTGGGCCCATGGCTTTGTAGATTTCCTCCTCCTACATTTACTCTGGATGAGAGAGCAGCCCCTACACTAAGAGCTCATAACTGAGCTTTTGTTATGAACAGTCAAGCACAATTCCTAACTGACACAGGATTAGTAGAAAAGGCCCCTGAATCCTGGCTCCATTTTCCAGAAAGGACCGCAGAAATTCTCTCCCACCAAGTGGCAGGGATGCTGACCCTGCCCTTAATGAGACTCTTGAATAGGAGGATGTGTGAGAAGTGGTGCTTGTGCTGTCTCAGGCAAGGCAGTAAAAATGCCACACACTTCCTCAGCTGCTCACCTTGGGGCTCAAGCTTGACGCTGGCTGCAGAGTCCAACCTGGCCTCTCGGGCTGTTGGAGCCACAGCCTGGGCCCCACCACTTGAGGTGTGAAAGAGGACAAGGAGCAGGCACAGCCCTGCCAAGAGGCACCCTGCTCCTGAATCTCCCTGATGCAGGTCAAGGACAAGAACCCCATTCCCACCCCGGTTCATCCCCACCTGCATCTGCACACAAGGATGGCATCATCCCCAGCTCCTGGGGCCACTAGGTGCTGACTAGACACTTGGACCCCTCTCAGACCCCTCACCAGAGCCTCTGGTGAACTTGGGCCATACCAAACCACTCTGCCCTCCTGTGCTGCCGCCTCCAAGTCATTCTCCGGGTTCTCCTATTGTGAACATCCTGGGGACCCCCAAGTGTGAGGAGCCCCACTGGATGAGGTGTGTGAATGGACGTGCAGGAGCCGAACCAGCTCTCCTGCCAAAGCCTCTGTGCAAAAGACCTACCCAGGCCAGTTCGGGGCTTGGACAGTTAGGCTCCCAGCCCATCTCAGTGACTTCCTGTGGGGCTTCGAGAACCAATGGGCAAGCTGGGTGGATGGATGTGTGGATGGAACGGGGAGGGGGGAGGGGGGAGGGGGGCGGGGGAGGAAGAAGGGGGGATGAATGGAGAAGACGGTGGGATGGATGGGTGGGGAGGTGGACAGCCAGGTGAGACAGAACAAGCGTACAGCATGTGGAGACAGGAGGACAGCAGGGAAGGTGGCAGGTGGCAGCTGGGGGGCATGGTCTCTGGGGCCCAGCAGGTAGGTGATGAACCTAAGGCTGTGTGGCCATTGCAGTCTCTGTCCCCTGCAACCCCTTGTCTCTTCTTGTGTGTCTGACAGTGCCCAGCTTGTTCTTCTTGGCAGCTTTTGCACCAGGAGAGCAGATGGGGTGGGTGGGGGCTGATGGCTAGAGCAGCAGTGCCCTCAGCCCTGTGCCCTCCCATGCGCGTCCTAAGGCCCGAAACCTTGGGACAGGGCTTGTCTGTGGCTGCCTTTAGCATCCCAAAGTACGTTGTCCTTACAGGAATGGTGTGGTGAGCAGGCTCATAGCACATTTCTGGTCCCAAGCACAGAAATGTGACCCCATGGCTCTTTCTTGGGCTTAGGATGGGTCAGCAGCCAGCATGAAGTGGGGTCCACACAGGCAGGTGCCGCCCAGTTAGGGCCTCATAACACAGGCATAACCCAGAACCCGGCCCTCAACAGGAGAGTTACTAGAGGCCCTCGGGGATGTCCTCCTGCTATGCTGACTTGTACTGTGTGAGATGGGGCCAGACTGAGTGTCACACCCTGGCCACTTCCCTTCCCGCACTGTGATGGCCACTCCTGCGAAACACGGCCCAGACTCCTTGACACCTTACCCTGCATTCTGGATGGCTTTCATCCCTCATCTGTCTCCTACATGGCTGAGAGCTCCTCATCAGGGGAGTCCCAGTGGCCCAGTGTCAGGACTCCTGAGTCTGGCTTCCTCCGTTTGAAACTCAAGGGAGCCCTTGCCCAGCCCAGGCACCACTGTCCCCAGAGCTGCTGCTGCCTCTTCCACAGGCTCTGTCCCCAGCCTGCCTAGGAGCTGGCACAGGTGGCAGTGCGGGTTACCTCCCTATACTCTGCCCCCAACATCTTTCCACAGACCCCAGCACACCCCATGCCTGGGCCAGGCACTGACACACAATTTCCCAGAGACCAGCTGCACTTTCCACTGCCAGCCGGGTGACAGAAACCACCGCTACATGCGAGGACAGCAACTGAGGTACTCACCAGGCACACGGGCCCCAGCGTCTGCAGGAACCTGCGGGGAGAGGGGGGCGTGAGCATCCCAGCACACAGGGTAGGCACAAGGCAGGCCAACACGGGGCAGCAGGAACTCACACTCTCTCTGACGACAGCAGCTCCTGTGCGATGACCAGGGCTCGAGATGGTCCTTCCACCTGTGGGGATGGGACGGTCAGCAGAAAGACCTGGGGCCCCTGTGTGTCCCCCAGAGTGACTCACTCTCCCCTGGTTTTGATACAGCCCAGAACTATCACAGAGCCAACGCGCCCTCACCACACCCTGGCCACCCAGGCTCGGTGCTAGCAAGGTGTGCTCTGAGCATCCTCCTGAGAGGGTGAGCCTGTTACTCTGCCGCCTCTACGTGGCCAGAACTCCTTTATGACAGAGATATTTATGGGTGGCTGCCAGTGTGGCTGGGGCAGGGGGCCCTCAGGGTGTGCAGAGTACCAGGCACGTGCTAGGTCCCCATCAGCTCCATCCCTGCCTCCACACAGTGGCTCTCTAAGGCCTGCCTCCCGTTTGTAGGTGAAGAGCCACTCAATGGCCCTCTGTGCTGACTGCCTGTGCCTGCAGTGTCGGATGGGAGGCTCCATACCAACAACATAGTGCAGCAAAAGCACCGGCTCCAGAACTAGCCGGCTTCCTGCCCCTGACTCTGTCCAGCCAAGCGGTCCAAACCTTCCATGCCTCTGTTCCTGATCCATGACCCAGGCGCAGGCGGGCAATGGATTAACCAGCCACGCCTTCGAGTGCAGTTCTCTGTCCACACCTCCCTTGTACCCAGCTGGATTGAGTGGGTGGAGCCAGCCCAGACCTGAGGGTCCAGGGGAGAGAGGAGAAGGAAAATTGGGGTTCAGAAGACTGGAGGCCTCAGCCACAAGATGTAGCCACCTCCTTGCGCAGAGCACCAGTCCTCCTTGGAGCCCTGCGGTGGCCTTTGTCTCTGTGTGCATCCTCAAAGCAGCTGGTAACCTCGTCCCCACCCACAGGAGATGGCAGTAAGTGAATCAAACAGTGTGCAGCGCGCAGCCGGTGCTGAATAAATGCATTTCTCTCCCAGCTGGCCCATCCTGAAGTTTCCTGGCCTGTGACAAAATTGAAGGTTCAGCCCTTCTGAGACCATTCACACAGGACAGGACTTGGTGGTGGCTCCATCTGTGTCTCCTGTGGGCTTGGAGAAGCTGTGGAGACACTGAGGCCCAAGGTGCCCCTGCCATCCTAGTGCACCAGTTGGACTTGTACCTGCCTCCTGCACCTGCCGGGCTGCTGGGGCCCTGGAAGTCACATGTAAGACCCCACAAGGGTAACAGGACTCTGCCAGCCCAGGAGAACCTGTGGGGTCCCCACACAGGGAGTCGTTTCTGGGGAAAGGACAGCAGCTAGGAGAGCCACACATGGTTTCTTCCTACAGGATGAGGACAAGGGTCAGTGACCTGCAGCCTCCTGAGCCACCTGACCCAGGAGCTCCCTTCCTGTCTCCAAGCCCTGGGGCAGTTACTGCTCTTTTCCAAGGTTATATGCAAAGCAAGATCCACAGTGACCCTGACTTGATGGTGCAGTAGTAGCATGCTTGGACCCTTCTGCAGTGTGAGGCATGACCAGGCTGTCCATGTGTGCTATCGCCCAGTCCAGGCATGACATTACTTCCACTGCATAGATGAGGAAACCAAGGCACGAGCAGGTCCCACTGCCTGCCTACTAAGTGGCAGGGCCACACAGCACCTGCAAGTCTGGCACCAGCTCATGGTGGCTCTGTCTGGAGAAGCACTGCTGAAGTCAGAAGTCACAGATGCATGCAAGCCAGTAGCAGTAATAAGCACTTGTGTGCCCAGTCAAGAGGCTGAGGCAGGAGGATCTTGTGAGTCCAGAAGTTTGAAACAGCCTTAGCAACACAGCAAGACACTGTCTTAAAACCAAGTATGTTTGGTGACCCCGACAGACCCACTACAAAGCTGAAAAATCTGTAAGTCAGTGACCACAGCATGTAGTAAGTGGCACCAACATTCTCTGTGGCTCTCCTCCAGTGGCCATGCAACTGTGAGAGGCCAGCTCGGGACTGAGGTAGCCTCACTTGCAGGACCAGGTGGTGGCAGTGGAAGGGGCACCTTGCCCAGCATAGGTTGCCAGGTTCATAGTGCCAGGCAGTGGGGAGACTTCAGGCCACTCCGCATGACCCAGCCTCCTGCTGAACATGGATTCCAGGGTGACAGATGCATCTTCTCCAAGGCAGTGTCCATCAGCTGTTTAACCAGAACACACACTGCAGGTTGATGCAGTGTTAGGGCAGGGGCAGCATACCAGTCCACACAGTTGTTTTTTCAGGTCGGGCCTTGGAGTAGTCCTGACAGCAGGGGGCCCCCAGTCTGGCCCAGCTGCCTCCCCCAGACACTAGCAAACTGGCTGGTTCAGCCCTGGCCACTTGACCCACAAGTGTAAGACCTACAAGGAGAGGCCAGGAGGGACCACTGGTCCTCCAGGGATCCTGGGGCCAACAGGCGGGGGGGGGGGTGTTGTGTTCCCAGAATCAGGAGTGCCAGTCCTCTAACCGTACTTCCACTTCTCTTGACTGTTGAGAGGGGTGCTTCACCATCATCTGCAAACCAGCCGCCAGGGTATGGACCTCTGGCTCCATCCTAGCCCTCTGATGCCCTTCACACAGGTGGTGGCTCTGAGGCCAATGTAGGGGGTAGGAGAGCCTGGCCGACCCCAAGGCAGAGGGACCGGGAGGCCCACACCACACTGCCACTGATGGGTGCTGCAGGTTTTTAAACACAGGCTTTCCCTTTAAAATCCTCTGTGATGTGGTGAATCTGGCTCAGGAGGGCTGCCTCCCAGAATGTCACCAAGGCCTGGAACTAGATGCTGTCACCCAGGACCGGGAAGGGCAGCCCTTGTGGCCACTGGGAGTCCCCACCTGTCCAGGGTCAGGGAGGCCTGTGGCAGTGCCCCAAGCCAACTCAGGGAAGGGCGTTCCCTGAACCCTGCTGCTCCTAGCATACATGGTCCTCCCTGAGGCTCAGGGAGCCAGGAATTGGCTCCAGCACAGCCTCTTCTGATGACAGCAGAGAACCTGGGAAAAAAGCTCTCGACGGGGCTTCTGTTACTGTGGTTGATTGAAGAACTTTGAGACAGGATCTCACTAAGTTGGCCTTGAACATAGATCCTCCTGCCTCAGCCTCCTGAGTGCTAGGAGGGCAGGCCTGTGCCTATAGCTGAGCCAACAGGAGGATTCATTTCCTTCTCCTTTTCCCTTCTCCCTTCTCTCTCTTCATCTCTCTCTCCTCATCACACATTCCCTCTAGTTCCTATCACCTCTCTTTTATTGCTCTTTAAATTACTAATACTCTGTGTTTCCCATAAGAGAAACCATATGATACATAAGCTTGTGTTTCCCTTAACATCATGATCTCAAGCTACAACCATTCTCTCACAAATGACTCAAATTTTAACCTTCTTTTGGCAGAATAGCACTCCATTCTGTGTAAATATCACATTTTCCTTCTCCATTCAACTGCTGATGGACGTACAGGCTGCTTTCATGATTCAGCTACTTCAAACTGTGCTGCTATAAACATGGGTGTGCGAGGATCACGGTAATACAATGCCTTTAACACTTTAGGGAAGATACCCAGGCAGGGAACAGCTAGGTGGAAGGAACTTCTGGTTTCATTGCTGAGGAATCTCCGCACTGATCTGCACGGTGGTTGTCGCACTTGTGGAGCTTGTGGGAGGCACACGCGTTCCTCTTCCCCGCACCCCCGCCAGCATTTGCTGGGGTTGATTTCCTGATGACGGCCATGCCTTCAGGAGCAGGATGAAATCTCGGTGGTGTTTTACTTTGTGTTTCTCTGTCGGCTGGCAGTGTTGGGCGTTTCTCATGTATTCACTGGCCATTTGTCCTTCTTCTGAGAAGGGTCTGTTCCTTCTGGTGACCCAGGTTTTGCCTGGGTCTCTTACTCTGCTCTGGCATCTGACCTTCTGAGGTCTTCACCTTTCCCAGCTGGCAGCTCCTGTCCAGGCAGCTGCTGGCAAAGCCTCTTCCTCTCTCCTGTCCCCACTCCTGGGGAGCAGGGATGAAAGGGGAGTGGCCTGGCTCAGGGGTGGGTGTGTGCATGCATAGGCCCTGCCCCCTGAAAGCTCTGGCTGCCGGAGCCAATCTGCACTGACCAGAGAAGCAGTGGCTGCCTTGGGTTGGAGGATGAGGTCCTGGAGGACCGGCCCCATGCCCAGCCTAGCCTTGGGCTCCCATGGGTGACAGCCAGTGACATGCCAAGCAGAGCTGTCTCACAATGCCACAGCCTGATGCATACGCTGCTCATGCAGAGACAGGTGATACTAGAGTGGACAGATGACGCAGGTCCACCTGGAGGGCCATGTTCCACTCCTGCTGGCTGGGCAGCAGGCACTGCTCTGAGGGTGGCACTGCCACCCTTTCATGTGGCCACAGACACTGACAAACCCTCCACATCTTGGCTCCTCTCTTCCCTCCTACCACCCGTACCATCTGTGCTCTGGGTGGAAGAGGGAGGCCACATGCATGGGGTGGTGGCCTTGGCCTCCTGTCCCATGCTCAGGTCTCTCTGGAGTATTTGGATGTCTCAGGGCCCAGGCTGGGACTCAGGGCCCCTATGTGCCAGCCACTCCTGCCTGTCTCTTCAGACCTACTCTTCCAGGACCAGAGAAGGAAAGGTCACCCCCATTACCCACCCTGGCACCGAGGAACAGAGAGATGGGGTCTTTGCCTTTCAGAGAAATAAATTTCTCTGACTCTGAGGGACAAAAGAATGAGCCCTGAGTGACCTATCCCACACTCTGGCTCCCTTTGCAAGAATGGGGCTTCCAACAGTGACCTCTGCTCTGGCCCAGCAGGGAAGAGTCATGCCTGTTCCTACAGAGACTGAAGCTTTCTGTCTGACACTCAGTCCTGTTGGGATCTGCTCTAGAGAAGTCTGCTTTTCCCTTGTGGTGTGGCGGTGTAGCCAGGATTCTGCACAACGAGACCAGTGCTCGCCCCTGAGACCTCACATGCATGTGTGCCAGGAGGTGCATGAACCAGGCATGCTGCAGAGGGGCGAGCAGGAAAATGGAAGAAGACCCATTCCTGGGGCATGGATGAGCCCTGAAACAGCCATGGTGGACATGTGACACTGACAGCCTGCAGCACAGGGCTCCAAGGCGACTCTGAGGGTAGGTCTCTCTCGGGTTTTTCATGGTTGGATGCTTTCTATATAAAGTCAGCTCCACAAACAGTACCCTCCCACCTACGTGGAGACAGGGGCAGAGTTCTAGGGAGCCAATATGCAGCGGGCAGGCACCCCCACTGTGGGACCTGCAGACCAGGGGTGAGCTTGAAGGGTTCCGCCACCTCCGCATTCTTGCAGGCACAGGACCTGGCACCATGTGCCAGCTCAGGAAGAAAGATGCTGGCCTCTTGGTGGGCACCCAGCCTCAGGAGCAACCCGATGTGGCACTAATATGTCCCTCCCTCCAGGCCACATGATGATAGGTGCTCAGAGTGACCCAGTTCTGCCTGGCTGTGGACACACAAGGGACCTATCTATGGCTCTGAGTCCCTGGCACTGCCTTGGAGCGCATTATGGCAAGGGCAATACCCACACTGTTCCACATAGTACCCTCCCTGGCCATCCTCTGTGTCTCTCTCTGCTGACTCCCACAGAGGCACCACAGCTGTGACATCAGGTTACAGATAGGGATGCCTGCACCTCCAGCCCTGCCCTCACTGCTGGCCCAGGCAGCTTCTGAGGTCTGGATCCAGGGCTTCAGGGCTCACTAGGCCTGGCTTGTAAGGGCTCGGAGACAGCAGAGGATGAGCACTGTGGCCTCCAGTATCTGAATCCCTGGCTCTGTTCCCTGAAGACTCTGGGGGTACTGCCTACCCAGAAGTTGCATCCCCAGGTGTGTGGAGAGAATCAGGTTGCTTGAGTCTCACAGAGGGTGGGTGCTGTCACTCTAAGGAGTCAGGGTCCCTTGTGACCTGGGGTCCTCCCCCAACAGTGCTGAGTGGGGCAGAGACCAGCTATGTCCCCATTGTTTGAGAACAAACTCCTATACATCCCTCAGCACCCACTGCCCTGGGACTCCATCACCTAGATGGGAAGACTGAAGCTAACATCCCAGGACAGTGATCACTCTAGTCAGGCAGCTTTGCTCCAGCCACCCATTCCCTTCCAGGCACCTGACACTTCACAGCTGGACAACCCCAGGTGGTTCCCCTCTCCCCGAATCTTCCTCCTGACCACCATACTCCCACTTCCCACACCTACCTTATTGGTGATGCTGGGGTCCCTCAGGGTGCCGTCTTCCTCCTCAGAGCTACTCTGCTCTTCCTCAGATCCAAGGTTCTCTCTGGGTGTCATCGCTGAGATGGGACAAACTTTGTAGGGCTCTGTGTAGGCACTGGTAGAGAGAGAGAGGGTCAGAGTTGTCTGCTGGTGGGGCCAACCTTGACCCCCCAGCCCCCACCCCAGGGCTGCCCACAGCTGAGTCTGGGGTTGGTGCTGAGGTCTGTGCTCCATACACTGAATCACGGCCTGCCTCACATTGAGCCAGGTCCAGCGGGGAGAACCCAGAGAAGCAGTAGTGAGTGCCCACATCGCACAGTCTTGGGGAGACCCCAGGGCAAGAGACAGGCTGCTCTCCTGCTCCAAGATCTCCCATGGTCCCCTCTTGCCTTGCATCATGGCTCTGACACTTTTCACAAAACCACTTTTGTGCTCCGAGTCCAGGAACTTGGTCATGCTTCATTTATCACTCACTCATGCCTGCCCGTGAAGCCCTGGGGTGGTGGATGGTGGGTGACAGGTGTTGAGGAGGGAGCATACACCCACTGTGGCTGATCCAGGGGAGCGGGCCAGGGCCAGGCATGGCGGCTGGGGTCCCCAGGGGCTCTTGGAGCTGCTTTTCAACAACACTGAAGCCAGAACTTGGCTTCGTCTCCAGAACACCTGGTGCCCAGGCCACCAGTGCCGAGCCATAGCTTCTGGTCTTTCCCATGCACCAGCGAAGGGCATAGGGCTGCTCCAGTGTCCCGTGTACCCTGATATGATGGCACCTCCCTCCTCTCAGCTCACACCTCTGCTTCCTTCCACAAGCAGACTTTGTTGGCCTTTTCGAAAGTCACACACCTCCTGCCTGGGAGGCAGAGAGGCCCTTGGCCTGGCTGCTGAGTGTGTTGTTGGTCCCTCCTGGGACCCCCAGGAAGGAGTGGACCCCAGTGGGGTCAGGAGAAGTTGGGTTGCTCTGCCTCTCAAACTTCTCCTGTTGACATCCCTGAGGCCCCAGCCTCCATGGTCCAGGCTACCTCCCAGCTGGGTGCCCATGGCAGCTGCTTTCCCATCCCTGTCACCCAACTGTTTCCAGACCAGAGCCACCTTCTCGAAGTCCACTCCGATTGTATGACTCCTTGTCTAAAACTCCTCAGACTCCACAGCTCAGTCCACCCAGCTTCACAGAACCTGGGGACTGAGCACAAGCTCACAAGCAGGCCCCCAAACACACATGGTCCCATCTCAGGCTGAACACTGAGGCTCTTGGGCTCGGTCAGCACTATGGAGTCTCACCAAGTTATGGTCTCACCGAATCTGGAAGGTCAGGTGGGAGGGAGCAGAGATGAAGGCCCAGGCCTCTGAGCTAGGCTTTCCAGCTTGGCTACTTCCAGGCTGCTCATATCCAGAGCTGCATGATGTAAGTGGCAACTGCTCTAGGCATTAAACAGCCAGACCAGGATGGCACCCAGCAGGTCCAAGCTGAGCAAATGCTGACTCTGGCTCCCATTGATCACTGCCTGGCCACCCAGCTCAGCCTCTGCCTCTGCCTCAAGGCTGCTCAGATTTAACAGGCACTGCTGACCAGGCTTTCTCTAAGTACAGCACATGTGTCCTTCCAATGTATTTCAGTAAAGCAGGCCCCTGTCAACTAAGGACCATTTGGCTGAGCTGTCACAGACAAGACAGACTGGTCATTTCCAGCCAGCCCTGCTACCCACCCAGCCCAGTTGCAGTCCCAAGAGTGGCCAGGGCCAGAGGCCCTTTGAGACACTTGGTTCTGACTTCTGCTTATAAAACAAGCAGTACCGGGCTACATGCTGATGACACCAACATCACTGTCTTCAATGTTCCATTTCAGGGCTGAGAGAAGGGTAAGGTGATCAGTCACCATGACAAGCATCCTTTCACAATGTCACAGAGCACAGCCAAGCCAACGCCTTGCAGATTGCTGAAGAAGCTGCAGTGGCAGAACCAATCCCCTGGGAATGTCTTCTTGACAACCATTCCAAATGCTCTCACAGAACCAGCAGGCTCTCTGTGCAGGCTGAGAGCCACTTCTTCCTGGGGAGCACACTGGAGACACCCACGTGGCGTCCAGTCACCAACACAAGCCTGGAGGGGCATCACTCAGTATGTCTACAGAAGCACACAGATGTCGTTAAGAGCCATCTGTGTTCCACACTCTGCTCTAAGTACCAAGTCAGAGTGGAAAGCAAGCCAGTCTTTGATCTATGGCTCTCCAGTCCAGATGGCTGGTAGGAGTACAACTGGGATGCCATCTCCAGCAGGACTCTTGGGGCGTAACGGTATGTCACACGTGAGAAGGCTCAAATCTACTCCCTCACCCATCAGGTCCCTCACCTGTGTACACATGCATTCATCCACTGTCTCTCTTAATAATCCATTTATCCACTCATCTGCTCATCTATCCACCTGTCCATCCTCCCACCTACCCACTCATCTCTCCACTCATCCATTTGTTCACCATTTCCCCCATCCATCAGTTCATCTATCCATCCATCCACCATTCATCCACTCATGCATCCATCCATGCAGCCATCCATCCATCCATCCACTAACTCACATATCCATTCATTTGACTACCCTTCTGCTCAGTCATCCACTCATATGTTCATCCTCCTGATCATACATTCATTCACCTTTTAAGCTCCTCACCCATCCATCCATCCATCCATCCATCCATCCATCCATCCATCCTTCCTTCCTTCCTTCCATCCTATCTACTAATCTACACATCCACAATCCATCCCCCTACTCACCTACTTACACTTCTGCTGCCCAGTCACATCCATCCATCCATCCACCCACTCACCATCTGGCCCTGCTTCCTTCCATCTCAGCATCCTTCCACCCATCCATAACTGGCAGCTACACCCATGATGCTAACCCATGGAGGAATCAGAGACAGTGGCCCTTCTCTCTCTCTGCTTTGAGTGGGTGAATTTATCAGATCTGTCCCTTCGCATATAAAGACCAGGGGTCAGAGGGCACCTGGTCTGCACCTGGCAGAGCCTGTGGGGCTCAGAGCATCTCCACAGCACCTCCTGACTCCTGATTCCTGTGGTGTCTTGGATGGGGACTCCCCAGCTAGTGGGTATGTGGTCACCCTGGGTAGCATGAGTTTGTACTCGAGGGGCTCACTGTGGAATCACATGCTGGGAAATCAGGCAGTTGGCACCACCAGTCAGTGAGCATGAGGCCTAGGACTTGGGGTCAGTAGAGGACAGTTGCTATGTGACCTTACACAACTCACACAACCTCTCTGTTTCTGGCCTATAAAGTGGGATAATAATGCATGTTCATCATAGGACTGAACAGAAGCCACTATCACCTGGCAGAGAGCGGGTCTTCTGGCCAGGGCAGAGGGGCTGTAGAGCTCTCACTGAGCTGTCCACCTCTGTTTTACAGACAGCACAAATTCAAGCTGCGTGAAAGAGCCTGTAAGTGACTCACTGTGCACCACCCTTCCCTGAAGCCTGAAGCTGTGAGGACATGTGGCTGCTTCCACATGTGGACCAGTGCCATCCAACTCTGATCATCCAACTCTGTCCTGGGTCACAGCCCCTGGGAGCTGCAACCCTGACGCAGTGCAGCTTAGGGCTGGAACTCATTAGGCAGGCAGGACGCTGCCAGGAATGCACTGTGAGGGGCCAGATGCAGCTGGGCAGGGTGGACTTGTTCTGGCCAGTGGGGAGCGTGGACAAGATGGGACCCGGGCCAGATGACCTGGGGGGAGGGGAACACAGGACAGAGAGGCCCCATGATCAGAGGGCTGGGGTGCTTGGAGGGGTTCGCAGGGTATACAATCAGGGACTCCAAACTCACGTATGCTCATGCTCCTGGGCCCCTGGCACCAATCAGCCCCTCTGTCTGACACCTCCTTGGCCTGCAAATCTCACCCCTGTGAGTTCCAGTGCTCAAGTGGATGACAGGGTCTCTGAGGAGAAAGGGGCCATCTGTGCTGCAAACCAGGAAGGCAGGGCACAGAGGTTGCTCACATGGGGGGTGACAGAAGCCCAGGGAATCTGGGCTCCCCACCACCCTGTAACTGGAGCTAAGTGATCATCTCAGGGTCATGTCTCTGCATCTGTGAGATGCAGGTGGGGATGGACAGTTGGATAGGCCCAGGCACAGGACACCTGAGTGTCCCCTAGGAGAGGCACATGGTGTCCCTGCATCACCAGGAGTGGCCTTGTGACAGTTTCAGAGAGAGGCACTTTAGAAAAGTCAACTTCCACATCTTGCCAAACAGCAACAGTGGCTCGGCTTTGCTCTCTGACCCATGATGTCCCCTTCCCTCCTGTCCAGCACCAGGCCTGCAGGAACTGGTTTCCCTCTGCAGAGTGTTAACCAGCTGTGACTCACGGGCCATGGACTGGAGGAACACAGCACTCGGAACTCTGCAGTCACTACCTTCTAACTTTAGAAGTCGCCTGCAATCCCTCTCTTTCTGCCTCCAAGGGACCCCTACAAGGAACCCCATGGGACAGAGCCACCCAAGGCCTGTGTGGGCCTGTGTGCACCAGTGAAGCTTGGTCCAGGCTGTGGGAGAATCCAAGCCCTGCTCACGTCTGAGGCCTGCAGTGCCTGAGGTAGGGATGAACCACACTGGAGGATGGGCGTGTGGGTTGAGCTAGGTTCCATGTGGACTGAGCTCCCATTTTTTGTTGTGAACACTCAGGATGAGGTTGCTGAGTCCCCACTGCCCACTTCCACCCTGTCCGCAGCTGAGGCCCCAAGGCCCACCAGGAGGCACTCAGTACTGGCACTCACTTGGTGAAACTGGGCTCTACCCTCCAGCCCTGCAGGTTCCCAGGCTACCCCAACAGCACCTCAGATCTTTCCAAACCAATGCTGTTGCTTTGCTTTCAGATCATCAAGGGGCTCAGAGGTTGGGGGGAAATAAAAACTAAACTGCTACACAATCCTCAGAAGCCTGGGAGAATTACAGATGGACAGAGAGGTCACACACAAGGTACACTGGCACTGGGCTGTCATGAGCCTGACGACAGTTTCCTCCACTGTGCTGAGATAGGCATCCCCAGGGTCTGGATGGAAGTGGGGTCACTAAGGACGACCCTGGAAGGGGACGAGGCTGCAGAGCAACAG